TATCAACTGGTGAACCTCATTCAGTGCTATGCGAAGTTGAGGAAGATCTTTCCTCTGGCGGGCATGAATGTGTATAACGGGCGGTTAAAGTTTCTGGTTACATTTCTTGACGGTATGTGAAAAGACTGTCAGATATAGTTGAGCGTATTCGGTCATAAGTAAGTAGAGCATTTGAGTGTGATCATGCAAAATGTTGTATCAGGGGCGATTGGTATATATAAACGGCGGTATCACCAGTGATTATTGTCTTCAGAAAATCTGGATGAGCTTTTGTCAGTCTGGCTAGATGAGAGAGAGAGAGAGAGAGAGAGAGAGAGAGAGAGAGAGAGAGAGAGAGAGAGAGAGAGAGAGAGAGAGAGAGAGAGAGAGAGAGAGAGAGAGAGAGAGAGAGAGAGGGAGAGGGAGAGGGGCTACTAGATTTATGGGGGTTTAGTGTGAGTATGTAATATGTATTACTCCGGTTTGTCAATTTGTGGGGAGTGGAGTTGCTATTTATATACAAGTTATTATTAGAGGTAAGGGTAGGTTATTCATCACCAACAAATCATAATTATGGATTGCTCTTTTGTGTGAATCAAAAGAAAATAAAAAGTTCAAAACTTTGAAGGCCTAATGACCACATTAATTAATTATATATCTATCCAAAAATGTACTGGAATTAAAAACTTTGAAGGTTAAGAGGAGTAAGTTGCAAATTGAACAAGTGCTATAGTAGATGATGACATGGCAGTTCGTAAGATGTGGCAAAGGTAGATATGGGATCTATAATAAGAGCAATCACGTGAAATGAGGCAAAAATTGGGTTTCATTATACATGGATTGAAACTCAACTAGAAAAAAAAAGGTGTTGGCATATTTCTTGGGCGGCCGATAGTTCACATGTATGTGTGTATATGTGGTTTCAAAATATATTAGGTGTCCGTGCCAACCCAACCAGTTACTTATGACGTGTCCTCTTTCACTAATTATGTACGGTCCCCTCCCATCTCATCCCATCAATTAATGCGGCTCTCCTATTTATTTATCAATCTTATTGTATTTGTTGCAAAACGATATATTATTCATGGTCTCATTAAAAATTGCACGACTGTGGAGTGTGGTGTTACGTGCAATTTCTTTTTTTTTTTTTTTTTTTAAGTAAAAGTTGGGCTTAATAATTTTGAGAGTCAATATTCAAAAATTAATTTTGTAAACATTAAAAATCTAATTACAAGTCAAAAAAAAAAGTTATTTTTACAAACACAGCACATAATGCACTATGCCTACACTGTGATAAGTGATAACATAAATCTAGAGCATTACCAGTAGACATATATTCAACCTAGCTGGGGTGCATTTTATTGCAAGTCGTAATGTGTAAGAAAACAAATTCATCTATGCACTGTAGAACATTTTAATTATTCTTAAATTTGGTGGTTGATCAATCCTTTATTGCCACGTGCTTATTGCTTTCCCAAATTGATGACTTAAAACAATAATATATTGGTCATAGTATGCACGAGAAACACATCATAATTAATGATAATTAATTGGGTAAATTACAACCGCCCCTATCGCCCCTATGAAGTAAGGTTTATTAATAAATAAAACTCCTTATTTTTCCATAATTAAATCTACTCCTACAATTTGTATATTTCTTACGTTAACACCCTTTTGTAAGGGGTGGATGTAACAAATTTACAAACTTATGGGAGCTGGATATAGTTTTATAAAAAATAAGGGTACTTTTTGTACTTATACTATACTATAGGGAGGTGGTTGAAATTTACCCTAATTAATGTTATGGGTTTGTAATTGTACACAGTACACTTATGTAAATGGGCTCTGGGAAAAACCATACATCGAAGTGGGCTTAAATTTATCTAATCTATTAAAGGTCTTTTAATTGGGCTGAAAATACTGGATCCGATATGAATCAGCCTATACGTGAGCGGTGCGGGTCGGAACCAGCCCGTGACCAACGGTCCGGTTCATTTGGTAAACGAGTCGTGATCCGCAAAACAACAAACCGATTCAAATATATTCAATGCCGATAAGAAAAGACAGGGAGGGAACTAACTTTGACCAACTTTTTATTTCCTTCCATATGTGCTGACGTGTGTTATTTAATGAATAAAAAAATAGGTAAGAGTGTGTGAATGTTTTAGCATCGATCGATCCTGTGGATGCATGCAGATGATATGAAACGTGTCGTCAAGAGATGTTACACACGTACAAATTCAATTAATTTTACCCAACCCCCAACTAATTAATCGGATCAATATAAAAGCAGGGCTCTCGCTCCTAATACATATATAATTCAGATCGATCCTCTCGCACTTTGAATTTATATATTTATCAAAATGGAGGCTAAGTTTGCTTTGGTGATAGTGTTAGTGTGCATGGCGGTGCAGGTTGCGTACTATGCACCTCAGGCAGAGGCAGCTATAACATGCAATCAGCTGCAGAGTGGGCTGGCACCGTGTCTAGGGTTTCTGCAGGGGCGTGCGCTGGTCCCACAGTGCTGTGCCGGAGTCCGGTCGATGGCCAACGCCGCCAGATCGCCACTGGACCGGCGCACCGCCTGCCAGTGCTTGCAGTCGGCAGCTAAAACATTCAAGGGCATCAATTTCGGAAATGTTGCTGCACTTCCGGCCAAATGCGGCGTCAGACTTCCCTTCAAGATTAGTCCAACCACCGACTGCTCTAGGTACGTACGTACATTTATATAATATAAATATATATTCAAAACACACATTGTTTTTATAACTCATGATGATGACATATTAATTGGATGACATACATTATATTTGATACTTTTGCAGGGTTGGTTGAGTGGAGTTTGGAGTTGGGTTCTTAACATGCATGCATGCAACTTACGTTGATTGAATAAGATGGGTAGAGATATATATATGCATGTAGTGATCATCTATATCTCTAGTTTCTCGTTTTTAGCCTTTGATGATTTTGATCATATTGCCTCAACTTTTGTAACACAAATTATATATAATTTGTCCTATTTAATTTTCTGAGGTAATTATATTATATTGTGGTTCCTGTAATCTTGTGTATTTATACACTTTTACGATATTGGTATCCAGTCCAACACACACACACACACAATGTATACACTTTTTTCGTAGCTTAATTCTGTGCAAAAAAAATTGAAAAAAAAATAAAAATATAAAGAAAATGAGACTTAATTATAAATTTTCGTTACAGAGTGTAGATGCATGTGTGTGTCAATTTCGTTTGTCAGAACCGGCCACTTGGATCCATATTTAAAGCAGTACATTAATAAAGCATTGAATATCCAACCACCACCCTATTACCCGTATCACTAAATCAATTTACAAATCCTTTTTCACTAACCATATATCGATCGACATTAATTCGACAAGAATCCCATCCTCTCTATATATAACCAATATCCAATCTCACATTTATTTATATATATAGTACCAGTCAATTGTCTTTCCAGCTCAGCAGCATTACCCTCCTTCTATGGCGGCCACCACCGGAATTATGATTAAGATAGCGCTCATCGCGGCCGTGATGGTTGCGCCGCTGATTACCGAGACGGCGGCGGCTGCGACGGCACCGCCGCAAATCTCGTGCGGGAGGGTGACGAGCACACTGGCACCGTGCTTTGAGTACGTGTTGGGTGGGGGGAGTGTGCCGGTTAACTGCTGCACGGGGGTTAAGTCACTGTACAAGGAGTCGAGCACCACCGCCGCCCGCCGGAACGTTTGCTTCTGCTTGAAATCTGTGACAAGCACCGCCTCTCCCGCCATCATTAAAAACGCCAAAGCACTGCCGGGGAAATGTGGCGATAAGTAAATATACTTGACCTATTTTTTAATTTGTGCATACTATATATCGACATATATATATATATATATATATATATATATATATATATATATATATATATATATATATATATATATATATATATATATATATATATATATATATATATTATTTAATTTGTTCGAGTTTTAAGAGATTTATTGAACTCTTATTTCAGGGTCAAGTAGAGATTTATTAAGCTAAGAGATTTCTGCTGGTGGGCCGGGTCGACCCGAAGTCAGAGTTGGGTTATGCTCTTCTATTTGCCAATTATAGTTCTTTTGATCTTTGTTCAACTAATATTATCGTTGTCATCCATTGTTGTCTTTTTTCTTGGTTGAAGTTTTCATCTATATTATATATACTGTTGTTACTTGTTAGCGTATGTTGTTTTTTACGTGATGATCATTTATATATCATGCATGAATAATTAATTTCCTTGTTTTTTTATATAATCTATGTTAGATTTTGGGGTAAATTACAAACACCCCCCTGAGGTATGATCAAATTACAAAAACCCCCCTCTTGTTTGGATAATTACATCTACCCCCCTCAACTATGATTTTTTCTTACACCTCCACCCTTATTGTGCCAAATTCAATATAATCATCTAGATTCCGTGGAATGTGCTCTAGTTTGTATTCGTTTTGTGTAAAAATACAATTTCCGATGCACTACAAACTGATATACACAAGCTAAAAATCACATATTATGATCATCTTACTTCATATTGTAGAGTTTGAATGGTATAAAACGGGTACAAAAGTGATCATGTTTCATATAATCTCAACGATTCCACTAAATTTGAAGAGCTGAGGGGGTGGTTGTAATTATCCAAACAAGAGGGATGTTTTTGTAATTTGACCATACCTCAGGGGGTGTTTGTAATTTACCCTAGATTTTGAGATGACTCTTTTTTCACTTACTCACTAGTAAAAGATTAGTGTGACAGTAGTGTACTCGTCTTAATTAATTAATTAACATACACGATTAATTAAAAAAATGTTGTGTACTTGTGGTAAACGAGTAGTTATTTAACCATGTCAATAGTTAAAAATCACCTGATGTACCACGGAATACAAGTGCAAATTGAATTGTGAATGGATATATCGGAGTAGTAATTTTCAGATCTATTTGTGCACATATTCTTGGAAATTCGAATTATGATCAAATTTGGACAATTTTGACATCCAAAAATTTACTTAATTAAACTATTAATTAACAAAAACATTTGAATTAAGTAACCGGTTTTTATAGTTAATAGTAACAACTTAATGAAAGAATAAATACAAAAAATATATATTATTAAACATGAAAATTGTTTTTATTTTTTCAAACTTTAACATTTTTGTAAAATATATTATGATTTTTTTTAAACAAACTATATATAGGGGCAATAGTGAAACTATAAAAGAACCATAGGCATAAACGTTGAACAAATTCAACAGCTAAGTTAATAGTTAATACACATCTATTTACTATTCCTAATAATATTATGTAGTATGACAAATTCACGACTCACAAGTCACAAGTCACAACATGCAAGAGTACATATATAATTATTACATAAAACATATATATATATATATATATATTACATCGAACGAGATCGATAAGATTAAAATTATTAAATTAGTTTTAAAATAAGTGTCTTCTTTTTTCACGTATTAAAAGTAACTTTAGGATTACTTGCAAACGCATTATTTATGATTTACTAAAGTTTCATTTTTTTTTTTTTTTTGTAAAATTAACGGAGCGACGTAGGACTTTCGGAGTCAATTTTCCATATCTGCAGTCGGGTAATATATGTTAAATTGTATTTATTATTTCATACTCTCTAAAAAATATCTAAGTGATAATAATATCAATTTTCTTTAAATAAGAGCTATATCATTAAATTGGAACTCTAAAATTACAGCTCAACAATTGTTTATTTTAAAAGAAAAGAAAAATCTAGAAGGAAGAAGTTTATAGTAAATAATCAATGATATTGGTCATAATTGTCAGAAGGAAAAAGAAAAGCAAGACTTGTTTTGGAAAAAAACTTGTACGATTATGTTAATTAATTAATGAGATCTCCCATCCACTCCTAAAAGCACAACAGAATCATTAACAAAGCATTGAATTAAATCCAACTACCAGCCACCAACCCTAAAACTATTGCATTCAATTAAAATTAAAATCCAAAAACCCCAAAACCCTCTATATAAACACCGCCACCCTCATAAGCCCTAACACAGAATTAACCAGCGCCCCTCTGCATTAATATATATTATTTAATTGGTTAAAGTGATACATTTCAATGGAGATTGTTAGAATTATTTCGTGCAAATTAATTATAAATTTGTGTCTGATAAATTCCAGATTCAGTTTTAGCTACTGTTCTACTGTTTTACGAAGAGTTGCAACAGTTAATGGAACAGTAATAAAAAGACACAAATTTTAAAGTGGTTCGGATACAATTGTACCCTACATCCACGGGGACCTGCAAATGAAATTCACTAATTTTTTAGTTTTACGAATACAGTAATAGGACTTAATCGAAAATGCAAAGACTCCCTCTTTGTCGACGCCGTTCTTGTATCCTACGCTGAATTGTCAATCTTCACTTTGCAGCACGTCCCTTTCCGCACGGTTGAAATTCCTTCAACGCTGAGTCCCTCAGTCGGCGGATCGACCTCCTCCCGAGATCTTCTGAATTCTCCTCCCGAAGAATCGATCTTCTTTTTGGTGAAAGAAGCAAAACCTTTCTCTGTATTTTCTTCTCGATTTAAGACCGGAATACTGGAGCAGCAACGTAAGAGCAGAAAAATAATTTTCTCTCCAAATAAAAGGGACGAACAATAACAACGTTGATGCTGCCTTCTTATATTTCCTTTTGTTGAACTAGTAGAGCCCTACACAAGAAATAGAGCCCATTAGGTTAGATATAATCTTACGTAAGGAGAAGGAGTTATGCAAACAAGGAAAGTCTTATTCAAAGGAATTCCTTGTTAATAAAACACTTAGGTAATTAAATAAATTAATGACAAAATAAGAGTTTAAAGAACTAAGGAAACTTCCCTAGTTTTTATACACGTTTTTCGTATACGTCATGAAAAACCGAAATAGAATCCTCTCGGATTCTAACAATCTCCCCCTTTGTCATCTATTTATTATAATCAAGTCCTCCCCCTTAATCAAAAACCTGACAAAAACATTAGACTGCATAAAAGAGTAACTGTTAGAACAGTTAAAAAACCAAAACAACAGTCAAAAGGAGAGCAGAATTAAGCCTATCCGACTATTACAAGCCATTGTTCAGAAAACAACTTCAACAATCAAATAAAACATAACAAAAGGAAAAATTAATCTAGAATATCCTCGGCATCAACGAACAGTTCTTCTTCATCATCGGTGTCTGCCTCAGCTGTTGCACCACCAACTGTTGGAACAGTTGGAGCGACAGTTTGATCACCGAATCCAGCAGCAGCAGCAACTCCCCCTGAGCGAGATATCTCCTGATGTGCTGCTTCATGGCCAACTCCCCCTGAAGTGTTGTCTCCCCCTTTCTGAGCAAGGGCTGTAAAGTAGTCAATTTTTTTCTTCAGATCATCGGCTCTGGCGATGGCAGCCTCATATTCCGCTGAAAGGAGAGAAATAACGTCGGAAAACAAGGGCACGGTAGTAGAAGGTGAAGCCTTGTGACAAGATTTGGCAGACGTGGAAGTAGGAGTCGGGCGGCAGGGCAAATCATCCACGCGCGGCTTAGCGGAGTGAGGATTCACAATTTTAGAGTGAATTGAGAGCGGAAGCGGAAGAGAGGGTACCGCGTTACGACGATTGCGGATGTAACCTTGATGACAGAGAAGCCGGTAGATTAAGGAAGGAAACGGCAAGGAGTACGCAGTGGATTGCGATCCGGCTTGGTCAATAATCTCTTCGAACAGGAATTGCGCCATGTCAAACGGAGTGGCTGTACCGATGTAATAGAGGAGAAGCCCCCTTCGTCTAGTCAAGGTTCCATGATGGGCAGTAGGGAACCAATTGACTGATCCAATAGAGAACAGGAGACGGTACGTCATAGAAAGCGAAGTCGTGTCGAGGGGCCACGATCCCGTGCGACCCCCAGTAAGAGTGGATATGACAACAGAATCAGAAACAGTCGGTGGAACAACTCCAATAGTGCTGAGATCAAACAATTCGGCGATGCGACCAGAATTAAACTCATAGACCCGTTTGAAAACGTAGACACGTTCATAGAAGGGGCTACGACAATCAGATATGCCACGGGCTAAATTTGCATAAAAATCGTACACAATTTGGCTCTCAAAGTGCTCGATACGAGATACTGTATGATAAACACCAGCTCGACGGAGAAGGTCGGTAATACCAAAAGCAGCAAAAGCGGGCCCCAAGGGACATTCAGAGGCAAGAGATCGTTGACTTACCAAATGCCACCGAGATTGGTGCGATGGTAGAAAGAAGCGGTGACTGAAGGCATCGGCTGCACAGATGGGCAGTATGAGTTCCGGGTCGGAAGAGGCAGCCCTAGCACGAGACGAGGAGGCACCTTGAGTGGGCGGTGGAGGGGCACGGCGGCGAGAGCGGCGAGGCGGGGCCGAGGGTGGAGCTGTATCGGAATCATCAGCATTAAGAATTTTGCCCTTCCCTTTATCTGTTGGCGGGGCAGAGCAGGAAGAAGGGGGTGATGGAGGCGACGGAGCGGATGGCTGCGATGGTGGTGAGGCTGGTGTGGGGGTTGACGGCGGCGGCGAGGTTGGTTCCACAGGCGGTGGAGCAGAGTGTGGCAGCGGAGAGGATGGCGGAGAATAGGTGAAGGGTGACGGCGGTGTCATTGGCGGCGACGGCGGCGGTACTGGCGGCGACGGTGGTGGAGAAACCCTAGGAACACAAACGAGTGGCCGATTGCCAAAATTGGCGGCGGTGGCGGCCGGAAGAGGAAGTGGGGGTTCCCAATATGCGAGGGGGACGGCGTCACACGGCTCCTCGAAAGTAGATCGGCGACCGGAGCGGCGAGACGGCAGAGGGTTCGTCGGAGACGTGGTCGCTGGGCGAGAGGGTCGTCGTTTAGACGAAGAAGACGATCCCCTGGTATTCTTTCGTTTCCCCATGAAGATGTTCCTTGATCTCCTTCGATTTGATGGAAATTTTGGGAGGTTTTGCTGCAAACAAAAAAACGGAGCACCAAGGCAGAAGAGAAGAAGAAGAAAGGGAATTTGGGAAAAAACTTAAAAACAAAATTACGCAGAGATGACTGTTGGCCTTTCTTATGGGTATTTTAGCAATTAGGAAAAATATAGTGAGAAAGTTGCAATTATTATTCTGCCAACACTGATAGCAGTTAATTAAAACCAAAGTCAGATACAGCAACTCTCAAACTTCTCATATGAAGCCCAATACAGTTCAAGAAAACATCGAGAAGAAAAAAATGCTCAGAAAAGTGGGTGACTTCAAAAAAATGATTGCCGCCAAAAACATATACGAACCCACCCCCGTTTTTTTTTTTTTTTTTTTTTTTTTTTTTTTTTTTTTTTTATATATATATATATGCCTAATATGCAGAATTAAAATACTAGGACAAAAAAAATGGACGTGAGAGAACGAACGAGAATATGAGTGAGTAAACACGAGTGAATAGGATACTATTAGGACTATCAAACCCATGGGGTTTATCTTCAATTTTAACAAAAAGCAAGCTCCAAAATACAAACTAACGAGACTAACAATAAATTTAATACCCTCAAATCAAGCACAAAAACGCTCTTATTAGGTAGCATACACACCCTACTAATGGTAGCTTTTTCATGAAGAGCAGAGCAATTTAATTAGCGAGATAGTTGTAGTCGTGCAATGTGTAGTCCCCTGGGCTTTCTATTTGAGCCTTGTAGGAGCTTTCGGCCACGTGATTTACTGACTCAACTCAAAAAGGCTTCGAACTATTCACAGACCAATTTATTATACATAGTTTTTTTTTTTTTTTAAAACAAATTCAAGAGTAGCTTTCACTCATTTGGAGAGGCAGCTTTTCCTTATGAAAGTGTTAAACCATGACGAGATTGTGAAGAGAATTAAATAAACTAAAGTCTCAATAGCTATCATTCGGGGATTGATGAAGTTTTACCTCACAAAGTTCGAAAGTACAGATAGTATCCAATACACAAGAGTTTTAATCACATGCAGCATGACTAATGCATAACTAAGATGAACAAAATGCAGTATGTGTGATGTGTCCAAAAAAAATTAAAAGTTGCAAGTCTGGACACAGACAGTTGCAACAGTTTATGCAACTGCACAGATCAAACAATACAGATTCCAAGCGAATTTCGCAAGGAATCGAACCTATGTGCATCAAGGGGTTTAGTAAAGATGTCAGCAAGTTGTTTTTCTGTTGTGACATACTCTAATGAGACAGTTCCTTCCTCTACCAGATTTCTAATGAAATGGTACCGGATTTCAATATGCTTAGTTCGAGAGTGCTGTACTGGATTTTTGGAAATATTAATTGCACTCATATTGTCACAATAAATATGCAATAAATCTTGACTAATACCATAATCACATACCATTTGTTTCATCCATAAGAGTTGGGCACAACAGCTACCTGCGGCGATATATTCCGATTCGGCAGTGGAAAGCGAGATACTATTCTGTTTTTTGCTGTACCAGGACACGAGATTGTTACCAAGATAGAAGCATCCTCCAGTTGTGCTTTTTCGATCATCTGCATCACCTGCCCAATCAGCATCGCTAAAGCCTGCAAGTGTTGTGTTAGTATCCATAGAATACCAAATACCGAAATCAATTGTTCCACTTACGTAGCGAATGATTCGTTTTACAGCACTAAGGTGGCATTCCTTGGGATTGGATTGATACCTGGCACAAACTCCAACACTATAGCATATATCTGGTCGGCTAGAAGTAAGATACAAAAGACTACCTATCATGCTTCGATAAAGTGTGGGATCTACAGCCGTTGCATCCAACTGTCGCGACAGTTTGTCGTTCGTTCCCATAGGAGTTCTAACAGTTTTTGCAGATTCCAAACCAAAACGTTTTACAAGGTTTTTTGCATACTTGGATTGAGTTATGAAAATTCCATCACTCATTTGTTTAACTTGAAGACCTAAAAAATACGTGAGTTCCCCAACCATGCTCATTTCAAATTCACTAGACATTTGTTTAACAAATTCTTCGATTTTTGTTTGCGAGGTAGATCCAAAAACGATATCATCTACGTAAATTTGAGCAATCAGGATGTCTCCCTTTGATTTTTTAAAGAAAAGAGTTCGATCGACGCTACCCCTAGTGTATCCCTTGTGCGATAAAAATTCTGTAAGACGCTCATACCAGGCTCGAGGCGCTTGTTTGAGACCATACAGGGCTTTGTTTAATTTGAAAACATGCTTGGGATAATGTGGATCTTGAAATCCTTTGGGTTGTTCAACATAAACTTCTTCTTTTAAAATACCATTTAAGAAAGCGCTTTTGACATCCATTTGAAAAAGTTTGATTTTTAGAAAACAAGCAATGGCTAGGAGTAATCGAACAGATTCTAGTCTAGCAACAGGTGCAAAAGTTTCATCGAAGTCAATGCCTTCGATTTGACTATAGCCTTGAGCAACTAATCTAGCTTTGTTACGAACGATATTTCCGTGTTCATCAGACTTATTTTTAAAAACCCATTTTGTACCTATTATATTGACATTGTCAGGCCTAGGGACCAAGACCCAAACGTCATTCCTAACGAATTGTTCCAGTTCCTCATGCATGGCTTGAATCCAATATTCATCTAATAAGGCTTCTTTGACGTTTTTGGGTTCTAGAGTTGAAGTGAAACAAACATACCTTGCCATTTCCTTGTAATTCACCTTGGGTTTACCTCGGGTTTGAATTCCTTCTTCTACCGAACCAATGACTTGATCCACTGGATGATTCTTCTTGACTCTTCTTGAGGGTTCCTTGTGAGTTTGGTCATCCAGTTCGAGAGACCTGACCTCAGCTTCGTCTCCTGCTTCAGAATTGACGTCACTGTCTTCTGAAATGGTGGAAGCTGCATCAACTGTTGGAACTGTTGGTGCGACACTGGAACTGTTTTCTGATTCCTTTGTTGGTTCCTCTTCCAGTGGTCCTGCATCATTGTTAAAATCATCAAATTGCACATATGCAGATTCCATCACAGATTTTGTTCTAAGATTAAATATTCTATACGCATGGCTATTTCGAGAGTAGCCTAAGAATATTCCTTGATCGCTTCTAGCATCGAATTTCCCAAGCTGTTCCCTGTCATTCAAGATATAACAAGTACAACCAAAAGTACGAAGGTAGTTGAGTTGGGGTTTTTTACCTTTCCAGATTTCGTACGGAGTTTTAGTGGTACCTGGTCGAAGATAGACTCGATTTATAATATGACATGCAGTGTTAACTGCTTCTGCCCAAAAACGAGGAGCGATCTCCTTTGCGTTCATCATGACCCTGGCCATCTCTTGCAGAGTGCGATTTTTGCGTTCAACCACTCCATTTTGTTGAGGTGTTTTAGGTGCAGAGAATTCATGAGATATTCCATATTTTTCACAAAAGTTAGTAAATAAGGAATTTTCAAATTCTCTCCCATGATCGCTCCTAATTCTCACGATGTTCTGCTGTTTCTCAACACTCACCTTTTTGCATAATTTTTTAAACACATCAAAAGAATCGGATTTTTCCCTAATAAATTCTACCCAAGTAAATCTAGAAAAATCATCTACACACACAAATATGTACCGTTTTCCACCTATACTCTCTACTTGCATTGGTCCCATAAGGTCCATGTGTAGAAGTTCTAGGTTTCCACTGGTTCTCACATTAGCTAAAGCCCTGTGTGAACTTTTGATTTGTTTACCCATTTTGCAATCACCACAGATTTTTCCTATTTCTTTAGTGAGTTTGGGCAGCCCTCTAACATATTCACAGCTGGAGATTTTTACGAGATTATCAAAGTTCAGGTGTCCTAACCTTTTGTGCCAAAGCACTGTAGAGTCTGACAGACTGTTGAAACAGTTCGTACCTGCAGAGACAAGAATATAGCAATTGTCAGATGATCGAGTTCCCTGAATAACACAATTCTCGTCTTTGTCTAATACTCGACATGCGAATTTGTTGAATCTGACTTCAAGATCTTGATCACATAGCTGGCTGATGCTTATCAGATTTGACGTGAGCCCTTCTACAAGTAGTACATTCTTCAGCTTTGGCAAATTCTCATGATTTAGTGATCCTTTCCCTAGCACTTCACCCTTTTTTCCGTTTCCAAAGGTAACAGCTCCACCGGTGATTTGTTGATAGTTTTTTAGAAACTCTTTAACACCGGTCATATGTCGTGAACACCCACTGTCAAAATACCAATCATTAGTAGTACTTGCTTTTAAAGAAGTAATCGCAGATAAGCATTTGAACGTGGACTTTTCAACCCAAATTTTTTGCTGAGGTCTATTGGAAATATCAATTTTATTTTTGGGTTTTTGAGGGGGTGAAGGAAAATAATCAGCCCTAGCAGAGTAAAGAGAACGAGCCACAAGCTTTTTTCACAAGTTTTAAATATTTGAAGCATCTAGGACGTATGTGACCTGGATTTTGACAGAAAAAACAAGTGGGAATAAACCTTTTCTTTGAATTGTGTTTCGTTGCTTCAACAGTTGCAACTGTTTGTGAGACAGAAGCTTGATCGTTGTTTCCTTGGTCATCATCAGATTCTTCTTCATCGCTCCAAACAGTAGTAAGTGACATTTTCTTCTTTTTCTTCAGGGTGTTTGCGCATTCTGATTGAATGTGACCAAAACCTTCGCATTCTCGGCATTGTATTCTTCTTGGTTTTGACTCCTCTGAGTTATCTTGATTTGAATTTCTCCTAGAATTTTGAAAATTCACGGGTTTCCCTGTGCTTGGAAGATTTCCCCTTTTTCCGATCTTTTTGAGAAATTTCCCAAAATTTTTCGATAGTAGTGCCAAGGTTTCTTCAACTGTTTGCTCATCTTCTTGAGTTGACGAATTTTGGGGCGTTGCATATGATGTTTCTGCTTGAAAGGCTATCTTCTTTTCTCTAGACTTTTCACGATGATTTTCACCATGATTGAGTTCTTGTGCTAGAAGTTTTCCCATGAGTTCGTCTAGTTTGAGCGTGTCAACATCTCTGACTTCTTCAATGGCAGCAATTCGGTAAGCAAATCTTTCAGGTAATGAGCGCATTGCTTTTCTCACAAGCTTGCTTTCCGAATAGGGTTCACCGAGTGCGTATGATTCATTGGAGATATCACATAGTTTAGCATGGAAGTCAGTGATCGTCTCATTCTCCTCCATCTTCAAATTTTCGAATTTGGTGGCCAGCATTTGTAACTTGGATGTCCTTACAGTTGACGTTCCTTCGTATGTGACTTGAAGGATTTCCCAAGCTCTTTTTGCAGATTCACAAGACGCTATTAGTTTGAATTGATTATCATCAACACCACTAAATATTGCGTTTAGGGCCCTTGAGTTGTAGTTTGCGAGTAGTATCTCTCCATCATTCCAATCTGCTTCTGGTTTGAATACTTCCACTTTGTCTTCTCCTTTGACCATAGGAGGTGTCCAACCAGTTATGATGGCGCGCCATGCTCTCTCATCTATGGATTTGATAAACATCTTCATTTTTGATTTCCAGTATGAGTAGTTTGAGCCGATTAGGAGAGGTGGACGAGTAGTTGAAGATCCTTCTCGTTGAGTATTCATATCTGCACAAAATAAGAGTAATCAGTTCCCAAAATCTCACTAGATGTATTTAGTGACAGGCTCTTGATGCCAATTGTTAGAATTATTTCGTGCAAATTAATTATAAATTTGTGTCCAATAAATCCCAGATTCAGTTTTAGCTGTTGTTCTACTGTTTTACGAAGAGTTGCAACAGTTAATGGAACAGTAATAAAAAGACACAAATTTTAAAGTGGTTCGGATACAATTGTACCCTACATCCACGGGGACCTGCAAATGAAATTCACTAATTTTTAGTTTTACGAATACAGTAATAGGACTTAATCGAAAATGCAAAGACTCCCTCTTTGTCGACGCCGTTCTTGTATCCTACGCTGAATTGTCAATCTTCACTTTGCAGCACGTCCCTTTCCGCACGGTTGAAATTCCTTCAACGCTGAGTCCCTCAGTCGGCGGATCGACCTCCTCCCGAGATCTTCTGAATTCTCCTCCCGAAGAATCGATCTTCTTTTCGGTGAAAGAAGCAAAACCTTTCTCTGTATTTTCTTCTCGATTTAAGACCGGAATACTGGAGCAGCAACGTAAGAGCAGAAAAATAATTTTCTCTCCAAATAAAAGGGACGAACAATAACAACGTTGATGCTGCCTTCTTATATTTCCTTTTGTTGAACTAGTAGAGCCCTACACAAGAAATAGAGCCCATTAGGTTAGATATAATCTTACGTAAGGAGAAGGAGTTATGCAAACAAGGAAAGTCTTATTCAAAGGAATTCCTTGTTAATAAAACACTTAGGTAATTAAATAAATTAATGACAAAATAAGAGTTTAAAGAACTAAGGAAACTTCCCTAGTTTTTATACACGTTTTTCGTATACGTCATGAAAAACCGAAATAGAATCCTCTCGGATTCTAACAGAGATCAAGGCAATGTGGTTGGTTGTTGCGGTGAGCATGGTAGTGGTTGCACTTGCACCACCGCAGGCGGAGGCTGCCATCTCATGCGGCACGGTGGCGAGCACCCTCTCCCCATGCATCAACTTCGTGCTCTACGGTGGGCCTACGCCGCCGACCAGTTGCTGCGAGGGGATAAAGACGCTCTACAACGAGGCCACCGCCACCGCCGACCGCCAGGCGGTTTGCTCCTGCTTGAAGTCTGTGGCCAGCTCCGCCACCCCGGCTATCATCAGCAACGCCGCCGCGCTTCCAGGGAAATGTGGTGTCTCTATTCCCTACAAGATCAGCCCCTCCACTGACTGCTCCAGGTATAACTACAAAAAAAAAAAAAAAAAGCTGTTTAATTTAACGACTTATGTTTTTAATTACAAGTTACTACATTTCTGATTATGGTTTTGTTTCCATGGATGATCGTTTTGCAGTGTTCACTGAAGTTTATGTCTCTCCTTGTGGACCACGTCGTAGCAGAGTACTGATGTTTGAATAATGAATTTTGTAAGAGTTCAAATCATGTAGCTCTGATTGAGGGTTTTATGAAATTAATTAATGATGTTGTTATCTTTATTAATTAATGATTTACGTCTGTTTGTTTCAAATTCGATGCGTTCTTCACCTCTTATTTAGGCATTCATCCAACTTTATTTTTAGCCAATTTAAGTTTAATTAACCGGTACCCCGACCCGACGTCTTCAAGTGATCGTACATGCAAACATAATGACAACAACTAATAATAATAATAATAATAATTAAAAAAAAATGGGAGTTCGTATTTTGTTTCATTCAATTCGAGCATATTATAAATCTGGCAATTAATTACTCAATTGATGAAGGAACGTAGAAACTAGGAAAAACAAATTTAAAAAAGTAATGAGAAATAAATATGAATATTAATGCATGTTTATCTTTGGTTACTCGGGCTTATATCGATCAACAAGCATAATCCACCTAAAACCTGACCTGTATTAAAAGAAAAATACATTAAAATAAAATTCATAAAAGCTCGTTTGAAAAAAAATATCATAAAAGACGATCTTTTTTGCCAAACGGTTGATCTACTCTAGACTGTGTTTGGGTGAAAGAAATTTAATTAAATTTCAGAATGTGGAAAATTAAATAGTATTGATTGACGATAACATACAGAAAACGTAGTGACATATTTGGTGTTAGAAATCAATTGCAATACAAAATCGTCGAAATATACAACCAATGAATTTATTGTAGTAAATTTTAAATTCCAAACTCCATACATTCAAACACAATTTTAGGTTAATACAATTCAAATGCAATATTTTTTTAAATATAGAACGTCGAAGCTAGGTTGAAAATTTACGAGACAGGCACATGGCTTAATTCACTTGATGAAGTAGAACGTACAAAAATTAAACTCACATTCCATTTTAGACAAAACATGATAAGTAAAGAGAAAATAGAGCGCAGGAGGACAATGAGGAATGGGGAGTAAAAGCAGGGATGGGTCGAAAAGTGAAGGCGTACGTGTCATTCTAAGTTTACTACTTACCGAACAGATAAATTACCGAAATGCATCTGAATTCATAACTCTGTATTTTATTTTTATATATATACATTTTTTAAAACATATTTATATATATGGTGTCGAATTTAGTTAGTTAACCTAGCTATTCAAAATATATAAAACCTTATTAATTAACTGTATTTTTGTAGTGTAATGGTTGAATTAATGCTTTAAACTTGAAATATTTTAGGAGAATAAAAATTGTCGTGAAGGAAAACTATATATATTTTTTTATATGTATATTATGTGCTTATTTCATTATGAGATATATAATGAAAAATAAGACATGCATAGACATATATCACCCCTAAAGAAAATTCTAAATTAAAATTGGAGCATTTAATTATTGATTAATCCCACTCCAATCAACAACTAATGATCCAATCTAACACGCCAAGCATATACATTACTCTATTTAAACCCTCATAGCTAGGCTAGGTTTTCCACACACACACACACACACACACACACACACACACACACACACACACACACACGCAGATCATCAGTTATTAAAATGTCTGGAATAACAATGAAATTGAAATGCATGGTGCTCGTTGTTTTGGTCATGGTGGCGTTTACTGGCGGGAGTGAGGCGGCAATAGGGTGTGGCACGGTGGTTTCATATCTGCAACCGTGTCTGCCGTACGTGACAGACAAAGGTCCACTAGGCGGCTGTTGTGGTGGGGTTAAGGGGCTGTATTCCTCCGCCAAGACCACACAAGACCGCCAGAGTGTGTGTAACTGCCTCAAAACCCTCGTCGGATCAAACATCGGCATCAACCTCGGCAAGGCTGCTGGCCTTCCCGCACTTTGTGGCGTCAGCATTCCGTACAAGATCAGCCCCTCCACCGATTGCTCTAAGTAATTTTTTATATTTCTCTATTCATCTATTCTTTTATTTTCGACTAGTACGTTATTATTTTTATTTAATTCGTTTAAAACCTGAAAAATACATATATACAACTAATTAGAAATTAAATTGATTTTTATAAATGTTGCATGTGTTTTGCAGGGTGACTTGAGTGATCAGCTTGATTATTCTTTTGGAGGGAAGTGTTTATCGCAGAAATATAATCAAGCTGGCCACTTATATATATTTTATATAGAATTAAATTAAATGAATAAAAGATTTATGAGGCGCTGCTGCTGGTATACCTCTAAATCTACTAATTAATTGCTTTCCTTAATTTTCTATCTGGTCGATCTCAGCTTTAATTTCATTCTTATGGCTTAAAATTATTGCACTGTTTTAATTTCTGTTGAATCATAAGAAATTAAAAGCCCTAATTAATCAATGGAAATTTAGATTGGAAACAACAAACAATAATGATAAATAATTTCCTGAATAATAGAAGATTTAATCTTGCTCAAAAGTGAATCCTGTATATACATAAGCCAAATATTTCACTCCTATTTCAACTACTGGCCGCATATATTAATTAATTATGTTTAGCATATAATAGACCTTTAACTACCAGTAATCCCAACAAATTAAAATATAAAATGTAATGGTTTCATATTAACAAGTTCTGTTACAACTAATTAAACATGATGCAAATAGAGATGAATACAAGGCCACTTTAATTTGATACATAATAAATAATAATAATAATGTCACATTGGCCCACTTTCATATATAGTGCTCTGCTCACTACCGGGTCAAACACGTCTTTATCTTTCTTTAAACCACGATTACCTTTAGAGCCTTCCAATTTCAATTTTTTTACTGGACCCACGTGGACCCTTAATTAAATGGTTTTATTCCCAAATCGCAATTGATGGTGAACATTTACTGAAAAGACAGCCAACAAGAGGATTACAAATATTTAGTTTTGATTAATTTTCTTCGCACCATTTTCCAATTTGCTAAATTTTTGAAAGAAAAATTGAAAACAATTTCAAAAGAATTCAGCCTCCTTCAAATAAAAAAAAAAAAAAAAAAAATCACTTTATTTTTTTAAAATTATTATTCCAGAATAAAATTTTCCAATATTAAATATAGTCCTCCACCGACTCATTTCTCGTGAGAAAATAAGACACTGTCCCACATAGGAAAAACACCACTGAATTATAGTATAATATGGTACTATATAGCTTGTGAGTTGTGAGTGTGCCACAAAATTGGACTTTTAGTCCATGATCTGTACCACTAATTAATATGTATGTAGAGCATTTAATCCACCCCAACCACCACCCAACCATATATCATACCAATAATCAATTAATCCCAAATTTGCATGAATATTTTCCTCTATAAAATACACACTTCCTCCTCATGTTAACCTACACACACTAAAAAAAACACAACCATTACATTCCAAGTTCACCTATAGCACCTAGTTAGAAAATGGCCTCCCTCACGAAAGCAATGTGCGTGGTGTTCATCGCCGCCGTGTTGGTGGCGGCGGTTGCTCCGGCAGCTGAGGCGGCAGTAGGGTGTGGCACGGTGATCTCATATTTGGCTCCATGCCTTCCCTATGTGAGTAACCGAGGTCCGTTGGGGAATTGCTGCGGTGGTGTTCAGGGGCTTTACGGGGCGGCTAGGTCCACCGCAGACCGCCAGGCCATATGCGTTTGCCTGAAATCTCTCATCGGATCTTACTCCGGCATCAACACCGGCAAGGCAGCTGGACTCCCTAAGCAATGTGGTCTCAACATTCCCTACAAGATTAGCCCTTCCACCAACTGCGCTACGTATGTTATTGCATTTAATTAATTATTTCAATTTTCTTCCAAAAAAAAACTACTTTTAATTATTAGTCGTTGAAATGTTGATCGATGAAATGTTGTGGTTTTTGCAGGGTGAGGTGAACTTAGTTCGTTCCGAGGAAAGTATGTAGTGAGCTTTTACGGAGGCTACGTTTGTTTCGTATTATTTATAATTACAATAATAATGTATGAGTTAATTAAATAAAAAGAGTTGCGATATATGTGGGACGCTGTGGATTGGTTTTACTTTTACTTTTAACATTAATCCAAGTTTTCCTTGCTATCATTGTAATTTTCTAGTCAATTAAAATCTGTCACTGTCAATGTATCTGTAATGAAATTAATTTCCAGATTAATTTATTAAGTGTGTTTAGATTAATGTTATATTCCATGCAACGCTAGGTGACAATTGGACAACTAGCAAATTGCGATCAAGTCTATAAGTGACTAGCTATAATTAACAGAAAATGGAATGTTGTTAATCAGATTTTGAAATGGTACATCCGAATAATATGCTAATTGCTATTAACTATAATAAACATCAATAAAATAGAAATGTAATTAAAGAAATATAATATAACTTTAAAAGATGGCATAAAGATATTTTTAAAATTATTATATATAACTTAAAGCAACTATTTTGGCATGCAATATCTGCATCTATCTGTATCAGTATAACATAGGCCCATGCTTGTATTGTATAATGTGAAATGGGGTTGGTCTATTTGGCATTATCACAGTAAATGCAATCCATGTGCCATGTTTACTTGAAATATAAATTTAAAAAAAAAAAAAAAAAAAAAAAAGAAAAAAAGACCAATCGAACCACCACCACGGCAGCACCGCCCCAACACCAACGGGCTCCCCAGGTAGGTAAAAATCCGGTTTTATATTTGTAAAGACATACCTACTTTCGGGAATTAAAGTGTATCTAAAATCGGAAACTCATATATATCTCAATTCTGAAAAAATAGAAAATTGAACAGGAAACAATTAATTAATTAAAAATTAATAAAAATAGATCAAATATATATTTGGAAAAGAGAATGCCAGGCCGTACAATGCACTGATGAACTCATTTGAATTTTCAACCTTACAAAAACAATAATCTTTTTTCAGATGCACATGTTCAGGCCCATATTTCGGCCCATGGGCCGTAGTTTTTATTTCTATAACTTTAATTGGGCATGCAGTTTCCTTCTCATTATGCCTTCTGAATCGTTTCTCTCCAGATAAATAATGTTCAATTAAAAAAAAAGGTATATATATAAATATTAAACTATATATAATATGTAGTTGGGATTGAAAGGTAGAGGGGTGGCTATAGTAGCCACTATGCAGTACCATTGCCTTGCCTCATCCCTAGGTAAACTACTTCCACATATACATACATATATATATCTTTTAATATATATAGTTACAAATTAAATTTATAAGGACCATATATATATTCTTATACAGGATCAGCAATATATCAGCATATATATATATCGTTAGAAAAAAGAAAAATATGTGATTTCTTTGATCTGCATGCATCAATATAGTTAATCGCCATATCTTATAAATGAATTAATAATCCAAATAAAACGTCTTCACAAACCAGAGAATTAATTAAGCTAGGTTGTTAATATTTTTTCTTATGAATTAAGCGTCTTATAACTTAATTACATCTGCAATGTAGAGCAATAGATCCAGCAGAAAACAATAAATTAACCGACTCTACTGACATATATAATTACTGCATGCAACCGAAAATCTAATTAATTAACGTACATTAAAACACCCTCACTTTCTTCTGTTCACACCTTGGTTGATTTCCCTATATAAGAATCTCTTCCATAATCAACTCTTTCAACCTATATCTTCAGTCATCAAATATATCTACGTAAATAAATTCAAATTAATATACTGCGCGATTTAATTTCCAATGGCAAACAATAAAGCTGTGATGATCATTGTTGTTGTTGCTGCAATAGTAATGGTGGGTTTTAGCCCCCAAGGGGCGGAGGGGATAACCTGCCAGACGGTGGTGAAAGGGTTGATGCCGTGCACAAACTACCTCAGAAAGGGAGGTGCTATTCCGTCGGCCTGCTGCAGAGGGGTTAGGTCTATTAACAGCGCCGCCAAAACAACTGCTGACCGGAGAACTGCTTGTGAGTGCATCAAGGTCGCCGCCAAAGCTTACAAAGTCAACGTTAGGAACGCCGCGGTCTTGCCTAGACAGTGCAAAGTCAACATTGGTTACGCTATCAGCTACTCCACTGACTGCAAGAAGTAATATATAAATAATCTCTCGTCCTTTATCTTTCTAATTGTTAATTTGTATTTTAATTATTGTTTCTAATTAACGGTATTTGTATTCTGTCATATTGTTTTTGCAGAGTCCGTTAAATTGTAGACCACATTGGGTGGGAGTCAATGGAATTCGGCAGCACAGCCCACCTTAATTAATTAATTAATCAGTCGTCTTAGTTCTTAATTTTGTCGCATTTTAATAAATAAATAAAAACGCGTTGGGTGTAATTGTTATAATTATATCTACGATTATTAGCATGTCCAGTTATAAGCCACATTATATGTAATAATTGCCACTTGGCATCTATACGTTGTAATAATATATATGATGAAATTACAAAAATCTATCTCTAAAATACTGTCACATTTTAATTAGTTTTTTTGATAAATAAAAACATCCTTGATTATGATATTCTACATTCATTCCTCGGAGATGTTCTTTCCTTTGTAGCCACTCTATGATTCTATCTTAAAATAAATGGTACCTGTAAGTTGTAACTTACAATTATTAGTATTTTTTTGATAAGTTTGTTAAATTAAAAATTAATTCATCTAATTTAAGTTAACAATAACATAGGAATTAATAAACTGAAAAAAGATGGCATAATTTGAATGTTCAAGCTAGTTGACAACAAATTAAATGCTAGACAAATTACAAGCGAAGGGCGGAGGCTACAAGATAAAAAATTGGAGGGGGCAATAAGAGAATACATATAGAGAAAAGAAAATGAGAAATATTACACCGACGACGTAGTTTGAGCAAGTTAGAAAAGTGTTATTTTCATTATCAGGAAAAGGCCAACCTCAATACCTAATTAAGTCTGTTTCTGATAATACCATTTGCCCGACGACTGCAAATACTCAGTTTCTTCAATTAGACAATTACATGTATCTATCACACACACACACACACACACACACACACATATACATATATATCTATGTATATACGTGCATATGATTGATTACAGGCAGAGGTTGCATGGCCCCGAGGACCGGCCTGAATGGCAACGGTGACCCGAGCCTAACTCCAAGTTTAACATGTGATCGGAACCGACTTCAACGTGACGTGTTCGTCTCAAAATCTGTATGAGACGTGATCATGTACCATTTATTGACATCGCATGTGAACCCATGCTCACAATTTTTTTTTTTTGTAGTTACTATTAATTAGAATGAACTTTTAGGTTACGTTTTTCTAATTAACCCCCATAAGGTTTTATTACCATATAGTAGCATCACAAAAGCTGACGCTATTATAAATACCCTGAAAGTTCGAAACCCAAATTCAATATCAATCTCCATTCTTAAAGCAAGCACTGCAGCTAGCTTTATATACATATAAATACATACATATATAATATATATATAAATATGGAGAATATTAATGTGAAATATGTGGCCGTAATAATGATTTGGTTGGTGGTGAATACGGGAGGTCCGGCATCTGCAGCGATCACGTGCGGCAGTGTTCTAACAAGCATATCGCCGTGCATTAGCTACGTCCAAAGAGGAGGTGTAGTGCCGACTTCATGCTGCGATGGTGTCAAAGCACTAAACGACAAAACAAGGGCAACACCTGACCTACAGGCGGCGTGCACGTGTCTCAAAGCACTTATTCCCAGCGTTGGTGCCAACGCCGCTTTGGTTAACGGCCTTCCCGCCAAATGCCACGTCGACTTGCCCTACCAGTACTCCCCATCACTCGACTGTTCCAAGTAAGTAATAACACCATATCATCTCTCTCTCTCTCTCTCTCTCTCTCTCTCTCTCTCTCTCTCTCTCTCTCTCTCTCTCTCTCTATATATATATATATATATATATCCATGCATACATACATACATGCTCTTTAATTATTTATATATAGGATTATTATTAATGTTATAAATTATGGGATTCTTTTGATTTATACATTGCAGGTTGACCCGTTGATTAATTGATGCCATTTTCCAAGATAAGAAGAATCAAGTATAATAAAGAATAAATTAAAGAGTTATGAATAAGATTTAGAGTTTCTTCATTGGGTTTGTCATGCTGCTCAAATCTCGATTTGGCAAATGGTCACCACTATATATTCGTATTTATTAATTGCATTTATGTACACGTACTATGTTAATCAATGTGATCGCCTCCCTTTGCAGTGTTTGTAAAATAAATAAGAATCTGTAATTGTGACAAATATAAAATCAGATATTATGTTAATCAATATATAGTTTGACTAAGACGCATGGGAATTAATATGTCTTTCAAACAAATGATATTATTTCTTAATTACTTACAAACCAAATTAGTTATTAGTACATAAATACCAACAAATCAAACACAATGTCAATACGGATTCTACGAAATTGGATATATACAAACAATGAGTCTAGCTTATAAAAAAGGTAGCTTTCATGAATACCGAATTTTCTCATATATAAGAGATCATTTACCTATAATGAAAAAAAATCGAATCAGAGTCGATGGAAATCGAACGAGGTATTTATTTACAAAAATTGGAGGCCGGTTTCCATTAAGAAGAGAGAGAGAGAGAGAGAGAGAGAGAGAGAGAGAGAGAGAGAGAGAGAGAGAGAGAGAGAGAGAGAGAGAGTTAAACTAAACTAATCTGATTACCTCAGTTGTTATAAGTTGGGGTTGAAGGCCTGAATATTGGAAATAGATTCGTCTTGATATATTTATCTGGGCCTGAGTCTTGCGTTCGTGGGCTCAATACAAAAGTTCAGGCCCAAACCCGGCCCGTTAGTTTACACTGACCCGAGTTGCGCCAAGTTCGGGTAAACCCGTTACTGTAACGGCTAGTCGTCTTCCACAAAGATAAAGATTAAAGGCAAAGATCCCATTTCAAGTGTGAATTTGCTTCTCTGCTGATGAGGCATGTCCACCACCACCACCAGCCGCCGCCGCCGTGTACGGTGGTCAGCATTCGAGCCAAGGCGAAAAGATTCGATTTCAAATTAAAGTCATCAAGACTACTAATCTTTCCCTTTCGTAAGCTTCTCCAATTCTCGATCCGATTAAAGATCCACCCATATTTATTGGAAATCAAATCCAAACCCGAATCCTCTCTTCTCTCTAAAACAAAATCCTTAAACCTCAAATTCCTGAACATAATCAAGAATTTTCGCCGTAAACGTCACAAAAACAAAGGCATTGTTGCCCATAAGGTATATGTATTTATTCAATTTTCAAATTGCTACTGTATTATAATTCTTTTCTTAAATCTTGCAAAATACAAAGTTGTAGTATTTCTCATTTGATTATTTATTATGTTCCCCGGTTGGTTGGTTGGTTGGTTGTTGAAGAAATACTTGTTGTATGGAAGAAAAGGAAGAGGAGGCAGGTGCATTTGGTTGTGTGCTCTGCTTTTGGCATGCTTTATAATTATAGTTCATGTTATGCATAAATATTATTTTGTATGGAAATATATTTGGAAGGCTTGTCGTTATGCTGCTCCTTATGGCCTTCTCAACCATTTTTTCAAGGTACCTTTTTATTTCCTTTCCTTTACATATATTTATTATTTGTGGATTAGAAAATATCAGTTTAATTTATCCTAATAATATTTTCAGGTGGTCTTCGATGGTATTTTACAATCTTTGAAAACGGGCTATGATTTATACTATAATGTTTGAAAATGACATCCCAAAGTGAGATTTCGTGGGAGGACGTGTCATTTGATTGTATTGTAGTTTGAAAAGAATCATTTGACTAACACACGCAGGAATAATGTCTTTTAATTTATCAATCAAAAAAAAAAAAAGTCTTTTAAACGATTAATCATCATTAATTCATAGGAGAAATTTGAAAGTTATTTGCATTACATTTCTCTTTTTTGTAATTTTCTTTGGGAAAGGACTTCGATTATTCCACATGTATTTGGGGATATAACTGTGCATTTTGAAACAAATCAACGGTACTGAATCCGTGAATATACTATGCAACAATGCGGTTATGTTTAAAGCTCGTTATGTGCACCAAGTGGTCCAAGTCACAATGAACGAAAAATGAAAATTACATATATTAATTTAGGGTTAAATAGCATTTTGTGCACATATACTTTTCACCATTTTGCATTTTGCTACCTTTATTTAAAAACAAAAAAAAAAAAATACACCAGCATATCAAAACCGTTATATTGACTCACTTAACCACGTAGGATGAACAGTCGCGCATACTTGTCAAGATTGGCCTGAAAATACAAGTGACAAAATGGTATAAACCCATTAATTTAGATAAGTTCTATATTTAGAAAGTCAAAATTATTTTATAATGGGTGGTGATTACTGATTAGGCAATATATTTTGTTTTGTTATAATCAGCATATAACCAATCGACATTAAAATGATATAATATGAAATTTTCTTAGTAAACTATAGTGCCAGGGGTGTATGTTTGCATCTTTGGTGCATGCATTCAAACTTAACAAACTACGGATTTTTCGTTTGCTTGTTCAAAGTGGTTTCCAAATGTCCCTTTCCACTTTCCATGTTGAAATTTTCCTTTTTTGCTTAATTTTGATGGTTTTGCAGTTTTTCTTTGTCCTTTCCAAATTTACCCTTCTCGTATTATTTTTGATGTCCCAAAAATAAAATAGTAATTCAACTTCACACGTTACTCTTTTAGCTTACATTGTTCAAAAAAAATACTAAAAACGTTGTTCCTAACCCTAGATAAATAAATAAATCGAATCGAAATTGGGGGGATTTTGGAATTCCTAGAATCTCAGACAACTCAAGTGAATAAAAAAATAACGTACTTTAATTTGAAATGAGCTATGATTTTATTTACGATTAATATAAAGGAGTTTATTAGAGTACAACTCTAATAAAAAATTAAGGTCCTTAATGGGCTTATTAGCTATTTTAATTTATACGGTCAATTTCAATAAATTAGTGTATTATTGGGCTAGCCGTAGAATAATTAACAAGCCCATTGGACCCGCCAATGGGATATATCGAAATTATACGTGTATATATAATATGTATATAATACGTGATTGCGTATGCGTGGGCATTATCTTTTTTAGAAAAAACATGTTTAAATAATCAGACAATATTTCCATGCTTTGACTGAGCTGTCACTTCAATCGAGGCTCCTTTTTGTTGAATACTGAGGTAGCTGTCTTTGTTGAGGGTGTTAATGGACCATTTTACCCTCCGTATTTTGTTATATTATGTAACCAATCCCTGCAAAAAGAAAAAAAAGAAAATCATTGAATAATTCTTGAATTTATTGCAACAGAAAATGAAATTAAGTCGTGATTTATTGAATGGGTATTTAATTGCAATACGCCTACTGAAAAATGACATCAAAAGAATACAATTCAATTAGAAATGTCATCAATATTTTTATTGGAAGAAAATACATGGATGGTATTGGTCTAAGGTCAAAAGTGTCAAATACAGGGAATAGGCAAAAAACTCTTGCTGGGAATGAAGCCCAAAATTAAATAAATAGATTTTATTTCTTATTTTGAGAATTACAGATGGGTTTTGGTTTGACCACTGTTGCTTTTTTATAGTATGTATATATATACACATATAATATATATATATTTAGATATATATTAATAATCTGTATTGTTGATTTATGCTGCTCGTGTATTCTCTCTCTCTCTCTCTCCAACTATTACTTTTAAGAAATCACCACAATCCCTCTCCTCTCCCTCCCAAAATTCTCCTCCCTACATTTCCTCATTGTATTCATTTGACTTGCTTCTAGGGTTTTTACGTTCTGCCCAAATTAAGTCGTAAATTGTGAATATTTAGAAATTTTGCCGATTTGGTGCCTGTTTGATGAGCGATAATCTGTGAAGATCCAGACTTCATCTCAAATTCGTTCAAGATTGGACTCAATTTTGACCTCCGGTTAGTCTCTTTCATTTTTTTCCAACTTTTTTTCGTCATGTTCCTTCGAGTAATTGAGGTTTTCTGACGATTTTTAGGGAAAATCAGGATGAGTAATCTCATCATTGTAAATTCTGCTATTTTTACCCCATTTTTATTAATTACAAGCTAGACTTGATTTTTCTTCTCGAGGGAAATCGAAGAAGGTATTCCGCGATCTGGAGTTGATGTGCAATTCCTGTTCTCATAGTATGTATATGCGTGTGTGTAACAAAATAGTTGAACTAAAATTTGACACATATTTAATTTTCCATAAAAACATTTGCTATGGCCTATGTGTAATAAAGCTGTCTCAAATAAGTCTACCAATTGTTCTGGGGAATTTCAGTCTGAATATTAGCATGAATTGTTGCTTACCGATTTTTATGGGGGCTTTGGCATTTGTAAATTTTGCCCTTCCATATATGAGGTAAGGTCTTATGCTTCAGAACCAGCACATATCGATTTTCTCTAAGAATAAGATACATTTTATTTCTAATTTTGCAAATTCTTCTGGTGTTTATGAAATTTTCCTTGGAGATAATTAAATGCATTTCGTTGGAAATAATATTCGAAAACAATTTTAAATCCATGGATTGATCTAGGCATCTGACTAATAATGATATCTCATAAGAGTCAATCTCCTCTGTTAAGGGCTGATGTTTAAGGAATGCCAGCCCTTAAGTAACATATATTCTTATAAAGTCTTTGTTTGAAGAAAGGTTTGATATGACTGTGAACAAGCTTACAATGGTAGATATTGGATATCTATTCACCAATGTTAATTTCAAGTAATGTAATTCCTTAGTTCAAATTATGTGGATATGTTTTTTTTTTCTTTTAAATGTATATATATTTTCCTCGAGTGAAAATTTGTAGTTTCCTCCTAATATATAACTATGGTTGTACCAGTGTGCTCGGGAAATCGAGGTTAATATACTTCTCTTTTATCTCTCTTTTACATGTAGTATTCTTTCTCTTGGCAGGAACTTAATATACCTGGTTTAAGATCAGAATTAACTTGCAACATGGGATGCTTTACGGTTTTAAAGAGTAAGAAGAAGAAATCTGAGCAGACTATCTATGTTAAACGTGTAAACCCACAGGAGCATTCACCGACCATGTTACCTGAACCCCAGTCGAATGGACGTTCTTTGCAGTCTGCACCCCCAAGCTTTAGAACCAGAGTAAAACCCGTTCAGTCAAATAGTGGAGTAAGCAGTAGCAGGGCAAGGGCATTGTCAGCCCCATCAAGTCTTGATGCTGCAGAACAAGATGCATTGACATCTACTGAATGTGAGGAACAAGAAGAGCCCAGGAGTCGGTTTGGGTCAATGAAGGAACATAATTCACCGAGCCCACAACCTCTTCCTCTTCCATCACCCCGTGGTACTAATGCTCTTAAGGCTACGACAAGCTTTAAAATGATTAATGTTAGTGGCCCTCTTAATATGTCTGGACCACTTCCTCTACCTCCTACTTCGCATCCAACTCTGACAGCTAAAGGAACCCTTCATAATTTTTCTTACGAAGAAATCGCGTCAGCTTGTCATAACTTCTCTCCAGAGAGATGCATGTCTGAAGGTCTCTCTTCTGTTATCTATCGAGCTTCTTTTGCGGAGGATGCATCTGGATCAAGAAAACTCGAAGCCACTGTGACTCGCCTTCACCCTTGCAACCAGGTATTTTTAGATTTGGCAGTGTTCAGATATTTGATTCATTGGTGTTTCTTAGCTTGGTACAACTTCTTGCCATGCCATCCTCTGTATGAGTAGATGTATTCAATACCGTACAGATGGGGGAATTTTGTTCCTCATTGGCTTCTTTCTTCATTATCTTTGTGCCTATTCTTGTTTCTAAGTAGAGATAGTCACCATTGTGATAATTTACTGTGGTTGTCCAGGGTTTGAAGGAATTTGTGAATGATGTAAATAAACTTGCATCTTTACAACATCCTTTCCTATGCAAATTGATTGGCTTTCATGCACGTGAAGGCTCAGACCAAAGAATGTTGGTTTATGAGAGGCTATTTCATGGGAGCTTAGATAGGCTTCTGTACGGAAGATCAGATGGCCCACCCATTGACTGGAATAGCAGAATGAAAGTTGCTTTATGTGCCGCACAAGGTCTAACGTTCCTGCATGAGGAGGGACCCTTTCAGGTATCACATCATCTGGCCGTTATATTCAAATTAGAGATTTTATGGTTTTAGACGCAATTTACAATGAGTTAAATTTAGTAACTCATTCATTTTACTGCTGAACAGGCAATGTTCCATGAATTTTCGACTGCAAATATACAAATCGACAAGGATTTTAGCGCCAAGCTTTCCGGGTATGGTTGCATCAGCCACATTCCAGAGAAGGATATATCCAGCAGCTCAGTTGTAATACCAATACCACTATCTTGCCTCTTATTTTGTGCATATTTTTATGTTCTTTTCTTTGTCTCAATTGTCATGTTGCTCAAATTAAGGCAATTTTTCTTTTTCAGGCTGTGGCAAATCTTTCAGTGGAGACACTGGAGAAAGGGTTACTGACCCCGAAGAGTAACGTATGGAGTTTTGGAATCGTGCTCCTTGAATTGCTCACAGGCAGGAAAAATCTAGACAGCAGGCACACAAAGGAAGAAAGAAACCTAGTAAAATGGAGCCGACCTTTCCTAGCCGACGACTGTAGATTATCCCTAATCATGGACCCTCAGCTAAAGGGCCGTTTCCCAACCAAAGCTGCTCGAACGGTGGCTGACATGGCACAACGGTGCCTCCAGGTGGACCCCTCAGAGAGGCCCACCATGAGAACTATAGTCGAGCATCTCAAAACCATACAGGATATGAAATATACGTCCAGGTTTCCTCTGCAAGAGCCAGGTTCGATTAGTGGGAAGCATATGTTGAGATCACCTAGCCTGAATGGAATAGGGGTCCCACCTCCAAGATCGAATTTTTCTCATTCACCTCCGACAAACAGACCAGCTATTTCTACTACAGCTCTGCATGCACTGCCATTGGCTCCACCTCCCAGAACATGTTCGTCTATGGTCTTATTGGAGGAAACTGATCGACAGGAAAGCCGCCGATCTTCATCCTCAATTGTTCGTAGATCTAGTTTCAAGGATTTTGATTGTTAAATAGTGAAACTTTTTTTTTTCGATTTTTTTCTCTTCTTATTATTAACTATCTGAAATGTGATCTTACATATTATATTAATATATTATATATATATATAGAAGATAAAGATATTTTTCACAACATTGAGTAGAAATAGATTTGGTGTTGATGTTTTCTTGTAAATAGAATTCTCTTGGAGTGGGCTAGTTTCCACTTTCCACCTCTCAAAGTGCTGCTTTGAGATACTGCCCCCTCCTTTTTTTTTCTTTTCTTTTCTTTTTTTCTATTTTGCTATCTGTGTATAATTATTAATAATGATGGCATTTTATGTATGTATTGTACTGTACTAGCAAAAGAATATTGTTGTCGAAATTGAATTAACTCTGTAATAACGTATGGATCTATTTGATACACTTCACTTGTAGCAGGGATTGAATGATAAGAACATTAACAAGAAAAAGAGGAAACATCACAATGGATCTTTTTCTATTTGATCCTTTTCAGATAAATCATTACTGTGCTCTTCCATATTCTCTACACGTGGTGACGAAACTGCTTGCTGCTCTGTAAGCAAGCTTGTAAGACCATTCTGCTTTAAGTAAGTGTCCAAAGGCAAACTAGCTTCTAGAAGAAGACTCGTCATGCTCACACGGGGCGGTGCTGTAATTTCCCGAACTGGACAACTGTTCAAGTCCAATCCTCCCTTAAAAATCTCACTGTTTCTGGTCGAAAGTATATCAGTTTCTGATCTTCTTGCATCATCAGACGGAACAAATTGTAAAGACACCTGAGTATTATTAATATTGGGGTTTGTGCTATGATCAACCTCTGCTTCGTCTTTAGCAGAAGCTGATGTGGGGAACTGATTGTTCCTTTGTGCCATGATGATTTCAGCCTCGCGGTCTGATTGGCGTTTCTTCTTGCGCATCATCAATGTCTTGAAACGGCGTTTGACTGTCATGCAGACGTTGCATGTGCATGTGGGCTTGTGTTTGCCCTTACCGCTCGGTGGCTGTATGCAGACAATGCAGGAGCAGCCTGGACGGTGCCTTGGATGCTTTGTGGTTGTTGCTATTGATGATGTCACTGGTTGACTCGTTTCACCTCCTGCATTAATCGTGGGAGTTTCCTGGTCCTGAGATTTGTTTTCGTACATTGGTTTGTTGAGGCTTGTCTGAAATCTCCTCTTTGTCAAGTCTACCATCATATAAGATGCATTAGATCAATAGGTGATGAAGCATTTTCAAGAAAAAAATAAAAGAAAGATAATCTAAAATCAAAAGGAAAATAAAAATAAAAATAAGGATATAAATATGATACCCTCATTCATTTTCAGAAGATTCTCGATTTCGCTGGAACATAATTCATCTTGTGCAGAGCATGAGCATCTGATCCAGAAAAAATATAGCAATATTCACTTGTAAGCATATCGTATAGCTAAAGAACGTCATCGAAGAAAAAAAAAACTAAACGAACCTTGTCTGATCGATATTGTCCTGACATGTCCATTTGGGAGGGAGAAGAATATCGATTGGCATTTTACGCCACTTAAAGCAATCGTCACATTGAGTCCATTGCTCGTGCTCCCTAAATTCAACACGAACAAATCCATATTTAAACACAGAAACTACAAAACCATTAGATACTAATTTCACAATTGCTTATCTTTACCCAGATAGACGAACAACAAAAATACTCCTCTTCGCAAAAACAGGTGGTTCCTGAAATTGAATTAAAAATAAAATTAACGTTATTCTCTTTATTCTCATTACTAGATAATTTGCTAGCACGACGATAGAAAGTACAAAGTTCTTCTTAATTACTTCAAATTCTTCAAACTCGTGATCTTCAACTGATACGATGCTTGGTTCGACACTTGGCGGTGCACGGAGCATATCCTGCACTTCTTCCCACGAGATTCTTATCTCCAAAGAATCATGACCATCAATAAGTAGCCTTTTACTCTTGGGCCCAATATTTCTTCTTTTTCTTTCCGGAAGAAGCGAAGATTCAGACAGTGGATTGTCTCCAGCGTAGACGTGCTTAGACAAAGTAGGCATGGAAGAGTTCTTGCTTCCTTTAAGTGAATGAAGAAGGCCAGAGTAGCCACTCATTATAGGTAGGTTATTTTCAGCATTTCCAAAGAATCGTTCGCCTTGAAAAGCACCATTATTCATCGAATAATGTGAATCCTGCCCATCGACAACTTAAAACATTTCACATCCTCTAGTTTCATGTAAATTACCACAACAGTTGCTCATCTAAGTTACGAAAAGCTTATCGGCTACAATAAATCATCTTTCAAGACAATGACGAATAGTACCTTCTGTACAGAAACATTGTTTGATGCCTTTCGGAACCCCATTAGAAGTTTCCCTTCTGGATCCATACGACTGAAAGTAACTGACAGAGCACATTTCAAATTTATGAGAGAAGGAAGTATTTTTTTTGTTCATTCCTATATAGTTGCATGGATGACCAAATATCGGGATAAAAATTGTGTTAATGAAAAACGGAGAAAATGTTTACCGGTATCTCCAGCTTGTAATTGCATTGAGTGAATGCAAGGGGTGACGCCCTCTAAAACATACATTCTGCTATTATTATTTGGCCAAAATCGGAATTGGAATACCCATTCTTTACCCCTCACGTCCTGAATCCTTAAAGGAAGGCCCTCCGGTTGAGAGATTGGTGGAAAATATGCCTGAAAACACTGAGTTAGCCCCGTCTCATTGGAATCCGCAAACAAATAAAAGTTCACTAGAATCATTGGCATTTAAATAAAAGAGCGGAACTGAAACATCAATATCCAGATTAACAGCAAACTTACTTCAGCACATGCTTTAGGAAGAACCAAACGACCTATTCGACCAGCATCACTTGCACTCAAGACCTTTTCAAATAAGGGAATTATTGTAGAATTCGAGCTGGAATATGATGAATTAAGGAAATTCAAGGTCCAAGAAGCTGGAATATGTCGTAAGATGATCGGAAAATGTTTTACTGAAAAGAGAGCGGGAGAGAGAAGAGAAGATGATTTTATAAGGATACTCTCCAGATATTTGCTTCAATTCCTGGTCAGTAATTCGAGGCCAATAACGTGGAAGCAACTGATTCTTGACCCTTCCTTCGACAGGTGGCCTCGCAACACGCAATTGTGAAATATTATTGCTCGAGTTTGTTTCTAACCCTAATCCTGCAGAAAGAATGGAATTTGGCAGTAGCCTTGGTAAGAGATGGCGGGGCCCACACCCTTGTTGAAAGGAAGAAACCGCAGTGCTCAGTTGTCTTTCTTCAGCAAAAACACCCGAGTTTGACGAAGCAGATAAGCTGATGCTCAAGTTTGTCTGAACTAATGACTCGTTTACCCTTTTAGCACTATTACTCTCTTGCAATGCATTATTCAGGGATGGTGGTAAACGTTGTTCTTGGCCATCATTTTCAGCACCATCGCCAGGTTGTGCGGGACCCATCGTTTCAAGATTTTGATCTATGAAATTTTCAGTTGACAGAGCACACGCTTGGTGTTTTTCTTTGGGTGTCTGCATAAAAGCTTTGGAAGAATCAGAGGATATATCGAATTATCGATCAGAGAAACTCAATATATCGAAGCATATAGCTCAATATATCGGATTTACGATGTAATATAAGTTTTGTGTAAACGAAGGAAAATTAACATAAATTGGTCTTACAGAAGGGATTTTGGAATTTTTGATGATGCAGGCTTTACAACTTACACCACCGGTTTCGAGTAGCTCAAGTAATGAAGTAGAAGCAATGCATCCACAATGAAGACGCTGGTAATGTAAAAAAAAAAAAAAAAAAAAAAATTTAAAACACTTAATCTCTATTAGTACCACTTAGCTCGGATTATTGTTATTGTAATAAGCAAACAACATAATGCAGTCACTCACTTTACCACATGAAGTGCACTCCCTCCAACCGGTTTCCTCCGAATGGAAGGTTTCGCAGAAAACAAATTGTTTATAGGCACTCCTGTCATCGAATATACCAAATTAGTGATCGAATATACCAAATTAACAAGGAAAAATCTTAATTTCTAACTAATATGGACTAAACATTAAAAATTTGAGCTTCAAAATTGCCCTAAATAGGAAAGTCACACCCAGTTGCAGCAGAGAAATGCCTAAGATCCAAATATAAGAGAATTGAAATAAACTCCATGATTCCGTACAATTAGGGCCAGGAAGAGAGAGAGAGAGAGAGAGAGAGAGAGAGAGATGGAAAAAGGGGATCTTGTTGAAGATGATTCGTATCGTACCCGCAATTAAGACAGAGAGTAGCAAAACCCCCAGATTGCAAAGGCCATCCATTTTCCCATTCGATCGAATTTGATGAAGCGCATAACCCATTCATGCACTCCATTTTCAAACAAAACGGAGAAACGGAACCACGCTGCTGCACAACTAGTCAACTGGAAATTAAAAAAATTACTAATTAATTTGATTAATTTAAGCTCAAGAATTAGTAAAATAATGAGAAATTAGAAACTGGGAATTAAAAGTGGGAACTTGCCAACTTATAGCACTATATATAGAATAAAAGGGGAAATTTTCTTGTCACTGAGGAAGACGGGTTTCTGGTTTCAGGAATGGTATATTCCGGCTGCTGTAACGGTGGATTGACGGCGGTGGGGGTTTATTAATTATGGTAGATTATAAAATATGCATGGAAAGAAAAGAGAAGAATCGGAGTGGGGAAAATCAAATCCATGCAATGCAAGCTTCTTGAAGCTTCAGCTCTCAGCTCTGCAGCTATTCACACCCGGACGGACACCCACCTCGTTTATTTTATTTTATTTTATTTTTATTTCAGAAAAGAGGGATCACTTTGATTAATATTGTAAATGTGACTTGTAAGTAATAATTTCAAAATTACTTAAGCAACAATGAATTACGTACGATATATAAAAATAAGGGTAAATTACACCCACACCCCTGAGGTATGCTTAAATAACTGTAAGGTCCCTGTGGTATTAATAATTACACTCACCCCCTGAAAGGTAGTTAAAAACTCTAACAGGATAATGCATTGGATACATTATTCCGATAGGGTTCTAATGGACTATTACTTTTAGCTAGTGGTGAAGACAACAAAGAGTTATGGGTGATTTAAAAAATATTGGGGGGTCATGTCACCCCATAACTCCACATAACTCTATGTTATCTCCACAACTAGTTAAAAGTAATAGTCCATTAGAACCCTATCGGAATAATGTACCCAATGCATTATCCCGTTAGAGTTCTTAACTACCTTTCAGGGGGGTGAGTGTAATTATTAATACAACAGGGACCTTACAGTTATTTAAGTATACCTAAGGGGTGTGGGTGTAATTTACCCTAAAAATAATTATAACAAAACAGTAGTAGTGTCAAGCTCAAATTTGGTAAGAGATGTTGTTTCTACTTTCTAGCAACCAAAACCACTTTAACAAATATCAAGACCCAAATTAAAATCTCAAATCTCAACAGTACTTTTAAGTAAACCTTAGGTAAATTAATGATTTCATGATTACTAGCTAGTTGTTTTAAATAATGATTCAGTTATTCATGCTTCATTTGTTAAATGCATGATTAAACTAAGTCAATTCTCTAAATTTCTAACCAAGAAGCATTATCACAAATATAGGCAGACAATAGTGGTTAAAAAGTAACAAGGCAGCATTGGAAAAGGGGAAAGAATATTTTCGCCCACTACTCTCCCACCTCACATGACACCCTTTTTTATCCAATCATCCAATTAATTAAAAATAAAATGGAAAAAATAAAAAAAAGAGTAGCAATTCATTCTGCTGCTTTTGGAATTCGCATGCAACAAAGATTCCAATTTGCTAAGATGAAATTACAGAACTACCCTCATACATACATCGTTAGAATTCTATGATGTGCGCCAGCTGTATAATAAGTAGGGAGTGGTAATTAAGGTGGGATTAGGGGGGGGATAGGGATAGTGTCCCGTAACGTAGTGTTAGGTGCACGCTTGGTGTTGAAGCAATCATTATCATCATTATTTCTCTAATCTCCGTTTTCAAGTGGGCCTAATTGCTCCATGACGTCACCCTACACTCATGCTGCCGTCATCATATCACCTAATATGGAGCCCAAAATAAAAAGCCCATTTATTTCTTCATAAATAATCTGGGTCCATTTATAAGGCCCATTTTCTTCCATGAGCCCGAAATAAAAAGCCCAAATAAAAAATAATAATTTTTTAGTTAGGGCAATTTATTCACCTACATTTCTTTCTTCTCCCTTATCCAGCCAGACAGAGCTCTGGTACTCGGCATTTTCCATCAAAACAACATCATCATCATCAACCATGGCGGGAATCTTCGCTTTCAAATGCCCATGTTTCCACCCACCATCTTCCTCTCTTTCCTACAGTTCCAACCACTTCCTTCTTCCCCGCCTCACTATTTCCCGCCGCCTCCCCAAATTCCCCAGTAACTCCACTTTTCATTCTTCATTTACTTCTTTTTTTTCTGGTAATAGTTGATCGCTTGTATTGTAAAAATGTTGATCGTCTTTTCTATTTGTTTTGGTTGCAGGAATATATGCATTGACTAGCAACGATATAAAGGTGGGCCTTAACATTGAAGTCGATGGTGTTCCTTGGAAGGTTCTTGGTAATCAATCCTAATTTCGCCCCACTTTTTTTCCTTTGTTATCTGGACTTTGCTGTGTCTTACGTTGTTGATATTGTATGTTCTGTAATTTGTAATGGATTTTTTCCGGGCATTGTCTAGAGTTCCTCCATGTCAAACCTGGAAAAGGGGCTGCGTTTGTAAGGACCACACTGCGGAATTATGTGTCTGGGAATCAATGTGAGAAAACTTTCAGAGCTGGAAGTAAGGTAATTTTTACTATTTACTACACAGCCGCTGTATTTAGTGAATGTATGAGTCGATAAACCGGCTGGTATTTCGTTAGGTAAATCATGAACATCTGCTTAGACTATTGTTTTTGAAACTAATGCTGCAATAAGTTTCTATCTGTTTTAGTGTGCATGTGACAATTGTTTGTTATTGGGTGCAATGTTGTAATCCTAAATTGAAGTAATCGGGATCTTTGCTCATGCATTGAGTTTTGTCCTTCATAAGTGTTTGTTGTTGTTGTACTTCACCGTGTCGTGGACTCAGGGTTACTTTTAGCTACGTGCCTATTACTCTGCATTACGTGTATTTTTATGCTTGTGAATATACATAAAGTCTCGAATGTAGCATCTGCGGTTCATTTTTTACTATTCTATGAAGAGAAGTTAGGCTTAGAAGATAAGTTTGATATCAAACTATTTGAATGATCTTCCCCTGAATATCATGTGTCACTTATTAGATCTACATGTGATTATCATTGACACCCCTCGACTTTGAGGTCTATTCACAACCCCGCATAACTTTTCACGTTTATAGAACTTGATTTTGGATAAGCTTTGTGATGCGCGTTTGTTTAACATTTCCAAGAAATTTGATCCACAATATTTGTATTTCTAAAAAGGTCAATGGTCCCGTTTGTGTTGCCATATTGCGAGTTCAATTGCTAATGTTGTTTGTCATTCTACTCGTTTGACAGTTAGAAGAGGCTGACATATTTAAGGAAACCAAGCAATACACCTATAAAGATGGTGCCCAATACGTTTTCATGGACTTGGTAAGTCGTTTATACTTTATTCATTTCATATAATGATATTACATTGGGTATAGCATTCAGAAGCCCTGAAACGCTTTTTCTACCTGCCTCGACTGACATAGTCAAATTTATGTAGTAAACAATTAATTCCGTATCCTGCATATTGGTTTTTCCAGAGTACATTTGAAGAATATCGTCTGAATGAGGCAGATGTTGGAGATAAAGCCAAGTGGCTGAAAGAAGGCATGGATTGCATCTTGCTCTTCTGGAATGATAAGGTTAAGTCCCATCCTTTCTTTACCACTAAAATTGCCATTTTTCAAATTTAAATTGATGCATAACTTATCAAACTGCTCCTCTTGTTCTGTAAAGAGGAATTTCAATACTAAATAAAAAAAGAATTATCGACATTGCTGCAGGTCATTGATTTTGAACTCCCCATCACAGTCAAGTTGAAAGTGGTCGAAGTTGATCCTGGTTTAAAGGGTGACACAGCTCAAGGTACTCTTTTTTTTGTTCTTTTTTTTTTTTAGATGAACCGTTTTGTAATACGTTTATCAATAATTTGCGGATTTTGTTGGTTGCAGGAGGATCTAAGCCAGCAATTCTCGATACTGGTGCTGTGGTTAGCGTTCCATTGTTCATAAGTATTGGAGAGGAGATTTTGGTAGATACGAGGGCTGGGGAGTACATGGGCCGTGCATAGCTTACTTGACCATCGTTTTTTTGGAGTCAATGGGTACCACTTACGTCTGAGAGAAACAACCTGTCAAGAGATTAACTTTGTCGTCTTCTTTTTTCGTTTTTTTGGTTAATGGAAGCTTTGTTTATACCATCGAGTAATTTTCAGATTTTGTTAATCAAACGATGATACGAGAGTTTATAATTACAACGGAACAAAATCCTCCCTTCTCTATCTTTGTTTATAATAAGAACTCGTGCAAGAACTTCTCAATTACATTAAAAAAAATTACTTGTGATGCACGATCAAGTATTTGCTAGGTTTACTCTTAGGCACCACACCTCTCTTCAACGCAACCGCATAAACAAAACGAGCCTCTAATAACCGTCCTCTTCGATTCAACTGATTGATCAAGGCATTGAAAGGAATCCCTCTCGGGTCCCTGTTTTTGTGCATTAGCTTGAATATTGCTAATGCCCTATCAACTTCTCCGATCCCGCAAAGAGATTTAATGACAATGTTGAATGTAAACGTCTTGGGCGAATATCCAATTGTAATCATCTCATTCAAGATTTCAAATCCCTTTTCCATCTCCCTTCCACTGCACAAGGCTTCAACCACCAGATCATATGCATCGGGGCAAACGGTATAATTTCTCTGCCTCATTTCTTCAAACACGTTGTGCACGTCTTTCAGCAGCTCTTTCTCCTCCCTCGACCACCTGCACAAGCCTCTCAACAAGGTGTTCATCATCCTCTCATCCACTCGGAAGCCTGTTTCGATCATTTCTTTATAGATCGACAGAGCTGCTTTCATTTTACCCCATTTCAACAATCCGTGCAAGAATGTACTGTAGGTAACGTAATCAGGCTTGCATTCCCTTTCCCTCATTCGCCTCAATAGACCAAAACCGCGCAACGGCCTGCCTTCCTTGAAGTAGCCATTAAACAGAGTGTTGTAAGTGACTGCGTTTGGTGACAACTCCATTTCTATAGCTTCGAAGAGCAATTCAAATGCCTCGTGTATTCTCCCAACTTTGCAAAAACCATCCATCACCGCGGTGTAGGTGTAGATATCCGGTTTCATGGACGATTTCTTGATGCTGCCCATCAAGTCATAAGCCTCTTCTACCCTCCCAACATAGCACAGCCCCTTCAGCAGGCAATTGTATGTGTTGATTGTGGGCTCGCATCCTATGCTAGACATTATGTCGAACACCTTAAAGGCATCTTGCAGCCGCCCATTTTCGCAAAATGTATTGATCAATGTGGTCAGAGTGGCAACATTGGGCTCGAACCCATTTTCAAGCATGTAATCAAGAACGCTTTTCGCTTCTGTGGGATCGTTTTTCTTGCAGTAGAAGTTCACAAAAATCGAATACGTCCAATCATTGGGGATTAGCCCAAAGGATGATAAATTGGATTTCAGATTCGACGCCAATTCGAATTCATCTGCTGAAACTAAAGACATGAGCAGATGATTGAACTCGGATATGGTTTGCGTTTCTTCATTCATCTGGAACTTCTCCAATGCTTGGTGCTTTACTGAAGCGCGCGCTGTTACAGCAGTTTGAAGGAAATCCTGAACTTGTAATTTTCTGCTGGTCGTGTGTCCGTAAAGATGGTGTCTTTCTTTGATGCGCCGGTGGTTTGAGTTAGTGGTGAAGAAGAAAGGGGCATTCAGTGAAGAAAGCTGCGCGCGGTGAAGGAAAGTGGAAGCTCGATGGGTTGGAGAGGGAGATGGTTGGGAAAAAAGCATGACGGATGATTGGATAATGAAGATGTAAAATAATTCAAAAATAAAATGTGATTGTTTTAATATTTTTATTTAAAAAAAAAAAGAAATAGTTTACCTAGTGATATTGACATCTCTCCATATATAATAATATAATAAAAAAAATTTGATTTGATTTCTCAGTCAACGTGTTAATAATTAGACTAACAAAGTACTACTACCAAGTACCATATGCCTATTATTAATACTTGTATTTCCCAAATACATAGGTATATGAATTGTATTTATTTCAATTTTGAATTTAAATTTGAATTCCAAGAATTTAATTAGACTATAACCAAGAAGCAGACACATTTATCACAAAATTTAATATAGGATTCTAGATTAAGATTTTGTATCCCCAAAAAGTAGAGTGTGAATTAGGGATAAAATCAAAATGTGAACAGCGCACAAAAGCATTCATTATATTACACATGCATATAGTAGTACACTAGTACATGAATCAAGAAGGGCAAAAACATGTGAATTAATATAATATATTGGAAGAATAAAATTGGTAATATAATAATAATAGGAAAAATGATTTCAAACCCTTAAAGATCTGCTAAACGTTTTCCAAAACATGGGGTCCTTTTGATCCGGCCGGGCCCCATCTTTTCCGGCGGCGGATATCTTCTTACCAAGAATTGGGCTCAAAAACTTCTTCATCACCTTCTGAAAACCCGACATCCGGCTGCGCCGCCCTTGTAATTTCTCCGTCGTCTTCGCCACCAGTTTGGGCGGCGGTGCTTGGCGGCGCGCCACCGCCGGCTCAGACAGGCTCCGCCCAAGCATGGCCTGGTTCAGCTGAACCTCGAACGAGAGACGCTCGTATTTGTCCAGCAAAGTGCTTTGTTCGTCTCCAAACCTCTTAAAAATGGCTGTCGTCATCTCTTCCATTGTACCCATTTCCGAAAGCATCAAGTTCTGGCGGCCTATAACCAATTGCATGATCGACCGGATATATAAATATTTATATGTATGTATACAGATCAACTGTGTTAAACTTTAGCTGACAAGGTGACGAATGGAAATCCCTTAGTCAAACTCACAAGCAAAGTGAGGAAAAATCAGACAGGAGAATAATACAATACATACATGTGTTTAGTAATATAAAAAGCTGCAGCAAAGGAGATAAGTTGTCTAAAGTACTAACTATGAAAAATAAAAGGCAGCCCGCCCATGAATTTATATTAGCACAGTTAGACAATAATTATTATAGGTGGTAGCAATTTGTATTAATGAAGGATGTGTCGTTCAATATTATGTAGTTCGTTGCCTTTATTAAATTTTTCTTTCAAATTTTGATTTTCAAATTTCGACTGCATGCAAGATAGTATTAATTATTCTTACCCATTTGCTTTTATATTGATCTTATCTACCAATCTGAATTTTATGTAATTACTATATTTGCCACTCATGTGATTAAACAAATGAATGATGCAATTAATTAATTAGTGGAACATTATTATTACATTGAGATTATATTCTTTATCTAATGTCCCAAGTTTAGGAAAAGATTAGTGAATATTTTAAATTTTAATTATGCATGACTGTACACACTAGCTTTATGCTTTCTTGATTGATTGGAATTGTGTTTGTTCCTCAAGAATATTGAAAGCTTCATTCTTGTTGAAGCCCATAACTTAGTGGGCTTATTACTGATAGTATATCCATTTAATTAGAAAGGCCCATTAATGGAGAGCTTACAGTTAGTTTTACACGCATCAATCAGCTTTGAGAGTTGATTGAGAAATAAGTTGCAGGTGGGTCAACTGTGTGACCAATTGTTGCTTCTTGTAATGAAATCTCCTTTGCTTAGATCCAACCTACACAATTCATGAACCCTAAATTTATTTCAATTTGTTAATATTTTTGCCCTAATTCAGCCTTAGTTTTCGAATTATTCTGCTTGTAATCTAAGCTTTCAGTTAATAGTGAAACAGAGACAAGATTTCCAAAATTCCGCTGGAGATACGGGTTTTTTTAGCTTCGTTTCGACAGAAATGATCGAAACAAGCTAAAGTTTTGATTTTGGCAGACGCTGAATTTTAGTGGAATGGATAAGAAAGTGGTTATTGCCTTTATTTTCATCTTCGTTTTTGTTTCAAACACTTGCAATGCTTCTTCTTCAGTTTTTCGTCTCCGGAAATTGATCGACGGTGAATCCAACAATGCTACAAGGACTCCAAAGGTAAATTTATGTGCCTATTTTATGTTCTCTATAGGTTATTATTTCTAATTCAAGCGAATATTTTCATTGAAACTGAATTCGTATTAGGTTTCACCAACTGGAAGCCCGGCTAACGAAACGAAAACAAATCCGATAAATGCAGGGGATTCTGAAGGAGAGAAGCCGAAAGAATCTCCGATAGGAGACCAGACGAACAGTACTAAGACTCCGCCAACTGACTCAAACAACTCGAACAAAACCGATAATGGCAGTGAAAGTTCTGATGCTCCTAGCCCGCCCGCTGGAGTGAAGAATGATACTACAGTTGATGGAAAAAGTGGGAACGCGTCTAATGAAACTACGTCGAAGTTGGGCAACAATGGCAGCTGCAAGGGATCCCAGATTACCTGCAGGGACCAACAGATGTTTGCCTGCATTGAAGCCTCAAAAGATGGTACTACTTCCGTTTAAATACTTTTCTGGAACATCTCATTTATTTCACTACATTTCAAGAATGTGACCATAGTTTAGTGCTCAGATGTTTAACATGTGTTGTTGGTGTATTGATGAGTTTCTGTACCTGTGCTATCATTGGTATAATTGTATATACCGAGTCTTGAATTACGAAGCGTATCGTTCCCCAAGATTAAAAAAACTCGAAATGTGTAGTTAGCTGTCCTCTATCCTGAAAGGAGTATGAATCTTTGTACTCGTTGCATTTATGTTCCTAAAAATTGGGGCAGTATAATGATGATCTATTGGATTAATACTTTACTTTATTTGACATGTGATTCCCAGCAATGAAATAACTTCAGCCAATTTATTTTGACAGGTTCCAAAAACATGTTTGTTGTGGTGCAAAATGAAGGAGAAATTACTTTGAAAGTTACTCTCAGTTTACCCAATTATTTGAAGAATGGTATGCCGGCTTTTGAGGTACCCAAACACGAAAGCAATAGGGTATGGTTCTTTACAATCCACCTATGTGCATTATATTCATTGTATAACGCATGTCCTTTGTAGATGTGATGAAAGCAAGAGGGTTGGAATTTTTTCTATAAATTTTATTAGATTGAGATTTATAACTAGGCATATCCATTTCAAATAATTATTACAGTTTAAACTGTTGAATCATGGATGATAGCCTACAACCATTTTAGATGTGATGAAAGCAAGAGGGTTGGAATTTTTTCTATAAATTTTATTAGATTGAGATTTATAACTAGGCATATCCATTTCAAATAATTATTACAGTTTAAACTGTTGAATCATGGATGATAGCCTACAACCATTTTAGACCTTATAATTGATCACAACCTTATTTTTAGTTGTTATCTTTAAAATCCAAGGACTTAATAATAAAGAGAAAACGAAACATCAGCATGTAGAGGTAACTTTGGTGCTTCATTCCTAGAATTGACTTACATTTCCTCCTATAAAATTGTACATTCCATAAAAAAGTGTGGTATTGACAAGATAAGATGAAGCATATTAAGAGCACTGCATGTTAGCTTTTGCCATTTGGTTTTTGGAACTGCTCCTAGATTAGTGTTAGAAGCAGACATCTAAAATATCATTTGATTGTGATTTTTATGTCTCCTCCCTAAATCTCACAAACTTCTCATTCGCTGCAATATTGAGAATTCCCACATTACCTAGTTCAGTGTACATGTTTTATATATTCGTGCTTTTGTACTTTGCAGATCGATGTATCCTCAAATGTGGGCAAGAGCACCAAACTAATAGTGGACTCTGGAAAATACAAATGCGTGCTTCAATTGGTCCATCCCGTTTCTGTAGACAACCTTATCGAACAGCTCTCCTACTACTCTAAGCAAGTGACCCCAATCTATATCGTATACACCTCCTTTCTTATAGCACTACTATTTGGAGGGACATGGGCTTGTTGCAAATTGAAGAAGAGAAACCAACAAGATGGAATTCCATATCAAGAACTCGAGATGGGCTTGCCAGAATCTGCTTCGGCTGCGAATGTGGATGCGACAGAAGGTTGGGATCATGATTGGGATGACGATGATGACTGGGATGAGGACAATTCGGTAAAATCACCTATAGTGAATCAAGTTAGAACTGTTTCTGCCGAGGGCCCCACAGTTAGGCCTTCTAAGAAAGACGGATGGGAAGATGATTGGGAGGATTAGGAATACATGTTCAGAGGTAACGAAAAACTACTTTGCCTCCAAAGGAGGACACAACACACACACGATCGATCAAGAGGGAGAAAAGGCGAATAGCAAATGCCGGAAAGCTATCGGTAAATTATCAATCTTTTTTTTTTGTTATGATTAATTGTAAACACTGCTTGTTGATATAGGGTTGTTTCATTTTGGTATTAAAGAAAGAAGCTTCCTTCTTTTTGTAAGGGATTGTTACACTTGGGTGGTGTGATAGCTGTAAAAACTAGAAAGCATACAGTTTATTACTTTCCTTTTCAATGGGTTTTGGATAGGGGAATATTTTGACATCATAAACTATTGATTTTTCAGATTTGTTCCTATAATATATTTTTACTATTTTTTTTTTTTACCTTGATGATTGGAATGATTCAGATAATGAAGTTTTGTGCCCAATACATGGATGGGACCCCAGTGCATGCTTCACTTTAATCTATAATACTAAAGAGAATGATTAAACACCAATTGAGCATTAACTCACCACTTTGGTTAAAGATAATGCTCAACCTATTTAAATCATTAAAGTGGTGGTTGTTGCTTCATGCATGCTTCTTTCAATCATTCTGTCCCATAAAAGTGCAAAAGATAATTCTTGGAACAATTTCAAATATTTTACCTAAATTCCGAGAATGCCCTTTTCTTCTTTTCTTTTTCCCTTAATTTACAATGAACTTGGTTCCTGCTTTTACAAACTTTACAACATGTGACACAGGCTCCTTCTCAAACTTTTAAGATTACTATGATTTATGTTTGTGTGTCTGAAGACAAAAACCCTCTCTGCCTTATGATGTTCTCTTGCCATCTAAGTTTTAATCATTCCACAGCCTCAACAAACTATTTGTTATTTGGAACATGGTCCCATAATCAACTAATTTCATAATCTTGTCAGAATTATGTCTAATCTTGATCAAATAACAGTAGTCATAGACCTAATTATGAGCGTCACATGTAATTAGTTGCAATAGATTATATTAACATTCTCGAGCAGAACATTGTTTTGTCCTTTATTATTCATTGTTTGCCTCTTGTACATCAGCACAACTCTCGATTCATCGTATATTAGTGCATCGTTCTTGTACACGAAAAAGCTGAAATGGATCAAGATTAATCATAAATATTACTCCTCAGAAGCAAAATTTACTCGAAAAGAAAGACAAAAAAGCTACTAATAAACAAAACCATCTTCAAATATCATAGCAAATACATACATGGATCTATTTTCTTCATCTATCAAACAAAAAAAAAAAAAACGGATTCCTCTTCACCCGATCGATCGCAAAATACCAACACATTTTTTTTGAACTTAAAAAATTCTTTTCGATACCGTAAAAAATTACTCCAATTCTTCTTGACTCTCACTGGGACACTGAATCAACTCCAGAATCCTTATCACTTCTTCCATATCCGGTCGATTCGAAGGCACCTGAGAAGCACAAATCAACCCTAGCTTAATGACCGGAATAGCCTCCTCCATTGAATAACCACCATTAAGCTTCTTATCAATGCACTCTTCTACCCTCCCTTCATCTAATGCTTCTCTCACCATATCGCAAAGCACGACCACATCATCTTCCATATACTCCACAGGCCTTTTCCCCGTTATAACCTCGAGAATCAAAACCCCAAATCCATAAACATCGCACTTTTCGGTAATTTTCACAGTTTGGCATGCGAATTCAGGAGCCATATAACCAAGTGCACTCTGCACTTTGCTGCTCAGTATATAACGATCCAATGCTGGCAATAGCTTCGCCAGTCCAAAATCGCCCACCTTTGCCTCTCCGGATACTTCTATCATTACATTACTCGACTTAATGTTATAGTGAATTAAATTAAGTCTGTGCAGGTGGGCCAGACCTTTAGCCGTACACACGATTATCTTGAATCTCTGCCGCCACGTCAGCAAGCTTCCGGAATATTCTACTTCGTGCAGATGCTTGTGCAAGCTTCCACCGGAGATGTACTCGTTGATGAGCAGCTGCAGGGACGGGGTCCAATAATATCCCTCCAGCTGGACGAGATTCTCGTGTTTAATCTTCCCGAGTCTCTTAACCTCCCTCTCGAAATCGTCTCGTGATTTCACCAAGCTCGTGGTGTTGAGCTTCTTGATGGCCACGGCCCGCCCGCATCGAAGATCCGTTTTGTAAACCGACCCGAACCCACCCCGCCCCAACTCGCAGTTCTTGTTGAGCAGTGCGTGGGCCCCGCTTTCAAAATCCACGTCGCCCGAGAACATAACCAGCTTCCCATAACTATTAGCTTCCGTTTCATTCGACGGGCTGTAATCGTCGCCCGTACCCGAAAATGTCAATGCATTGGCTGACCGGGCCATAGATGTACGGGCTTTTACATTGAGAATCGAGACAATGACCACACCGAGAGCTATGAATATAGCAGCAGCGATGGCTACAAGGGAGGATATGCTAAGTACAATCCGCTTGTGACGGAGATTCTGTGACAGAGGGGTGTGGTTCGAGACAGAGGAGTTAGGGTTTAGGACAAGGGGCTTGGGGTGGACAGCTGGACAGGAGTGGTTGACTATGGACCCACAAAGGGATGGGTTGCCTGTGACCGAGGAGGGAGTGATTGTGTTGAAGAAACCTCCGACAGGAAGTTCACCTTCGAGATTGTTAAACGAGACATTGAATGTTACGAGGTGGGAGAGATTCGTCAGTTCTTTCGGTAGGCTGCCTGAGAAGTTGTTGAACGACAAGTCGAGTAGTTCGAGGTTCGATAGAGTGGCGATCGAAACGGAGATGGGTCCCGTGAGATTGTTCCGAGACAAAACCCTAGACAAGAAACAGGGACAATTTCAGACACAATCTAAAAAAAAAGAAACATAGTACATTACATCAACACACAATGTGATAGAGACTTACAACGAGGTTAGAGAAGAGCAGTTCCCGATTTCTACTGGAATGCTCCCATGCAGCTGATTGTAGCTCATATCAAGAACTAAAGTTGTGTTAAGTTGACCAATACTCGCAGGAATCGAACCAACTAAGGAGTTTCGAGATATATTCAACGCCTGCAATTGACTGAAATTCCCAATAGCTGATGGGATTTCGCCGGTTAAAGCATTGGATGATAAATCGAGGACTCGTAAGATTTGATATGATTGCATCCAAGAAGGAATGACCATGCTTCCACTGTATCTGTTACCAGAGAGAGAAACTCTCTCCAAAGATAGCTTGAAAATCCATGAAGGCATATTACCAGAAAGCAAATTCTGGCCAACATCAAGAACCTTAATATTCACACAATCCCCAAAAGATTCGGGCAAGTTACCCGTGAAACGATTGTTGGAAAAATTTACTTCTTTTAAGGATTGGAGATTACCCACAGTAACCGGTATCTGACCGGAAAAATTATTACTTGAAACATCCAAGAACTCCAAGCTTCTCATATCTCCAATCCAATCAGGAAAATCCCCTGCTAATAAATTCCCACTCACATCAAGATATCTGCAGAACCCGAGTTTTCTCATCGAAATAGGAAGCCCACCGGAGAAATAATTTCCACCAAAATCAACAGATTTCAGCAGTAAACAGTTTCCAATATTCTCAGGCAACCAACCCACAAATTTATTCTTACTAAAGCTAACAGCTTTCAAGACAGACAAACTATCTATCCCTATAGGAATCTCACCCTCGAATAGATTATCAGACAAATCTAACAACCGAAGCGAACTCAAAGACCACAACCCAGAAAAGAGCTGACCTGAAAGAAGATTCGATGAAAAGTTGAGCCTCTTCAAATTTGTGCACGAAGTTAGGGATTGTGGGATTAAGCCGGTGAGGTTGTTCTTGGCCAGTGAAATTTCCTTCAAGGACCCACATTGTTGGAAAATCTCTTCGGGTATGGACCCTGATAAACTGTTTTGACTCAGATCAATGGTTTCCAAATAAGGGATTTGTGTGAGAATGGGGTTTATTGTGCCTGAAAAATTGTTTCTTGACAATTGCAAAACTTTGAGGGACTGGAGTCTAATTAAGCTTCTTCCGAGATGGCCGGATAAAGAGAAGCCATCAAGAAGAAGCTCGGAGACCCGATTGGAAGTCGGGTCACATTTGACTCCGACCCAGTTGCAGGCGGAGTCGTCTTCTTCGTTCCAAGAGGTGAGCCTTGATTGTGGGTCGGTTAGGCCAGCTTTGAAGACTATGAGCCCCAAAACGTCGTCGTTGAAGGCCGGGTCCAGAGATTGAACAAACACAAGTAACGGAAACAGTAGCAGAGCAGCGGCTGTGTTTACAAGCACCAACATTTTTCAGTCGTAAAAAAAAAAAAGTTGGTCTGAATTAAAGTTTATTCTGCATGGATAAAACGAAAGTGGTAATGAAGAGAGGATAAATAGAAAAGCAGAGCTTCAAAAACACATGTGCAGCAGGGGCGAAGCTCGGTTGCTTAGTATCGCCGGAAATGTTGTCGGAATGCGAAACAACAGACGGGAAAAAAGATTAAAAAATACTTTGGCTTGTGGTTGAAGAATCAAGAAACATGGGAAAGAGCGCCGAGGAAAGTGGAAGGGAAAACAGAGATAAAAAAAGAAAGAAGAATCGGATATATAAATTTAGGAGAAGCAGCACCGATGATGGGGGGTAATTAAAGTGTTGTCAGTGCGGTTGCAAGAGTGCCTTCAATACTCATGAGAGAGAGAGAGAGAAGAGAGAGAGAAACAGAAGAGAAGAGGATGTAAGAAAGAAAGAAACTTTTTGCTTTTGTGTGATGAGGAATTAAATTCTTCAAATCTGTAATCATATTCATATATACACACTCCTCTACTGTATATATACTCTTCTACTCTCTCTGTGATGTATCATTCACGACTGTTTTTGAATTATATACTTGCTAATAATTTTGTCTGCGCTTTTGTTAAAGAACAATTAATTAATTAATTAAAATACTCCGTTGGTATACAAAGAGAATACAAATACAGTATGATGATTATATATTAGGGTATGCAACCGCGAAAATAGAGGGGTTGTCTGTGGTGTGGTGTGGCGTCTTTATTACAACTTTGCTTCAATTTGGACTTTGAGCCCATTTTTTCTGCTTTTACTTTAGTTTTTTTTTTTTAATATATGTTCGCTTTGGTCAAAGTGGAACCCTAGGCAGGCCCCTATATTACGTGGCACTACTTCACTTCTCAGTCTCACCACACCTCACTCAATAAAAATGATGAAAAGAAAAAAACGGAATAATTAATTAAATTTCAGTGGAGGCATTGCATATATGTAGGATCTCCTTATTAATAATGAGATAATATAATGAAAAAAAAAAAAGAAAAAGAAAAAGAGGGATGCAAATTAAATAAAAGGAGCACGTGCAGGATAATGGTGAGTAGAGGAAAGATCTTAGTTGTAAAGAGTAAAACGGAAGGGTTATGTTTGTAATTATCGAACCTCCCAAGTGAATAACGGGTCAAATTCAACTACCCACCCACCTGCAATTTTTGCTCTGCTCTCTATGTTTATTATTTATTATTAGCAGTAGATAGAAAAGCTCATTTCCTTGAGAGTTATTTATTACTCCCACGTCCTTGATACCTGTTTTTCGTGCATTAATTAATTATCAGACCGAATGAAAATAAAAAATAAAATCATAAATTGATAAACAGAATTAGCATATATATATATAGCATTTCTTCCAAATAAAAAATATAATTATTATGCATGCTACTTGTCTCAACCCATGGCCTCTTGCCACTGAGAGTTGACTTTAGACAAAATAGTACATCATTTTCGTCCTCTCAGACATAATTAATTTAATTGGGTTTTAGTTACCAATAAATTTGTGTTAAAATAAATAGGAGTTGAGTGGCGTGAATAAATAGACTGGTGTTTTGATTATATTATTATCCCATCAAAATTAGAGGTTTGGTGATGCAATTGGATTAAGCAGATATGGGCCTATGTTATAAGCCCATCTTCTAATCATCAATAAGATATGAAGCCCAAACTCAAAAGTCGTATGTATGTCATTTGAGGCCCAATTCACTAAACAAACAATGATCAATGTTTATTTATTATATTTTGATTTTGAGTATATATATTCTTAAAGGAAGGAATATTGCATCATCTTCCTTGCTGGGGTTTTGCATTTGTCCCTTGCTTGCCTTGTCACTTGTCACTTGTCACCATTCATATTTCTTACTTTTTACCATCGCTCCTACCTCTTCCTTATTTTTTATTTTTTATTTTTAAATGCTTTTATATCAAGTTTAAGAAAAAAAATAAAATTTACCTATTTGGAGGTAAAGATTCATTTGGACCAAGAAGAGTCCGAATGTAACCCAAAACCACCAAACAGATTCAGTGGGGCCACCATCTCTTATTTTTGGCTCACGTGTCAATTACCTTTTTCTTTGTTTTGTTTTTTTTGTATTTCATTTCATTTAAGAATGGTTGTTTGCTAACTTGCACATCGAATTTCACGGCGCACTTTATTTACCCCCGACCTCCCTCCCTCTCACTGTACGGACTGACTCCGTCTTTGTGTTCCTCAGCCTCTCTGCTACTTCATTCAAATCTCACCACTCAACCATTCTCACCTATACCTATCTATATACGCACTTCTATTGCCGAAATGAGCATCGGATTTGAGTCAATCACTTTGAGAAACCCTAGTCCTGCCTTGGTCAGAGCTTCCCCTTCAATGGCGATGTGTCACGCGCCGCCTGCTTCTCTAGGGCTTGGAACTAAAATCCATTTCAAGGCTGCGATTCCGCCATTTCTCGGCCTTAATTTGCCGCTGAGAACTGTGCGGAAGCTCTCTGTTTCCTCTTTTGCCGCCTCTCATGAGGAATCGGTGAGGCCACTTTGCTTAATTTCCTTTCTTTTCGGTTAGATTTATTTTTGTGCATTGTATGAAGAAAGAGGAGTTTGAGTTAGGCATATTTTAGCCTTCGTTTGGTCTAAACTGTGTAGCTGAAATATTACCTTCACTATTTAGATTGACAAAGATATGAAAATGTATAATGATAATGAAAATATAATGCCACAGATGAAAGATTAACGAAATTGTGGATACAATATCATTTCAAACTGTAAAAGATAAGATTTGAGCTTTTTGGCAAATCGAGGTTATGAAGCTGTCCGCTAATGGCACGTCTGTTGGTTGTTGTAATAAAGCCTCAAAGCTACAGAGTGAGAGTCTTTAATCATCTTTTTTATTAGCTTCTCCACAACCGATAAATTAGTGGGCTTTGTGATTGTAAAGTTTCTGAAATCAATTCCACTTCAAGTATTTGTTTTTGTTGCTTAATTATATGTTATTCACAACACCGCTCATTGGAGTTAGAAATGTAGCTAAGTTTTTATTGCATGAAAGTAGATATTCTGAAGTTTTGGATATTTTTCTTATAGCTTTTAAGTTATGTAATGATAAATTGCTGTGATATTCTTTTCAGAAGGCTTCAGATATTGATATAAATAAGGAAAAAGAGGATCTGAAAGAGGGCGCTCAAGAATCACAAGAGGCTTGGCAGCAGACACTCGCTTCTTTTAAAGAACAAGCCTTGAAAATGCAGAGCATATCAAAGGAAGCTTATGAGTTGTATTCTGAAAAGGCTATTGTCGTTTTAAAAGAAACTTCTGAGAAATTGCAAATTCAAGCAGAGAAGTCAAGGCACGATCTGGCTGTGATTGCAAAGGAAATTGCTGAAGAGAGTAAAGAATACTTGGCCACAGCTGCAGAAAATTCCCCTGAACCAGTGAAGGATATTGTTGAAACCTTTGCTTCCTCAACTGATGAGTTCAAAGATGTATCCAAAGTGCGAGACTTTTATGTTGGAATACCTTATGGTATGGATATCAGTGCATTATTCCTTGCGTAAAGTTGCTATTTGTGGTAATTAAGTTTTATTTGAGATGTTATACCCGAATATTTTATGTTTCCTCAGGTGCTCTTCTGTCTGTTGGAGGTTTTCTCTCGTTTATGCTCACTGGAAGCATTCCTGCTATCAGATTTGGCACTATACTTGGTGGTACTCTCTTGGCTTTGAGTATATCAAGTTTGAGAGCGTGGAAAAAGGGGGAGCCAGCTCCCTTGCTCCTCAAAGGACAGACAGGTGTTGTGTTACTGTATTTCTATGACTTAATACCATGACAAAAGTTTGTTGTGTCTTCAACTCGTCAATATATAGCTATGTTCAGTTCTCAACAGTGTTATAGTCGTAAGCAAATATAATTTGTAAGCAATATACTTCTAATGTTTTATTTGACATTGCCAGCGGAAGTAGAATGAGTAGACTCTTTTAGTTATGTCTTCAAATTCTACTTTTGATATTGGGAAATTACCTTACTTCTTTTTTGCTTTTGTTCGGCAAAATGCAGCAATTGCAACCATCTTGTTTGTTCGAGAGCTGCGCATGGTAAGGATCTGTGTTCTACCTCACTTCTGGCATGCCTGCATCTTCATAAATCTAACAGTCTAATTTTTTTGTTTTCTTTTCGCAGCGACCATTTACTGCCAATATCTTCACAACCTTCATCAGGTCCCAATTCCTCTGAAATATTAGTTTGAATTCAACATTATTTCTTATGTATAATAAATAGTTGCATTTGAAGTTAACGCATGTCTTTATGCAGTGGGGGAGTAGTTGCATTCTATCTTTACAGGATCATTAAAGATGGAGGGCAGTCAGGAGCATCCAATCAGGAAGCAGAGCCAGCAAACTAATCCCCGAGTTGGCAGTACACGATGTTGTGTATTATTTGGTGAAAAACGTGATCTCGTTTTCAGGTGTACAAGGATGAGAGAGTTATGAAGAAATGAATTATAGCTAAGATTTGTGATGATCTTTTGTTCTAGTCATAATGATTTGCGATCAATTAGGATTTATTTTGCTGCTGTTAGGGTTTCATAATAAATTTACACCCCCTCCTCTTTTAAGTTTTATTATTTCTTGTGTCACGCACAATTGAAAGTCAGCTTTCATTTCTCTTGCTGCTTCTTATATGTAGTAATCAATATGGTTGCTTTTGTTTGTTATATACAGCTTTATAACAGCTTTTTGTCTTCATTTTGAAATAAATTAATTGCTTGGAATCGATTCACATGTCTGTGTTTGGCAAACATCAATTAATAAATTGATTACATCCACATATATTAAGTGATGCAATTTTATACTATATTTAGTGTTAAATAAAATTGAAAATATAGGATATTTCAGCTACTTTTTGAAGACAAAAAATGTAAGCTATAGTGTACAGATTTTGTGATTTTGCTCAACTAAGAAAAAATATTGAAATCATCTTTAGATGAATTATTTCTTCGTGGTTAATGTATAAACAACTTCTATACTATATATCTGAGTGTTGAAAAATTATATATAAAAAAAAAAGTAATTTGAATATATCAACATTTTTTAGCAAAAAACTTGTGTTATATATAAATTCGATTTTTGTGATTTTGATGGATTGTTCAAATATTACTGAAAGAAGTTTTAGTGAACTAATTCCTGACTATTTGTAGGTAAACATCTTATATACAGTATATTTGAGTGGTCAAAATTTTTGAAAGAAAATATGACATTTCAACTATTTTTTAGTGAAAATCCTATGCTATATAGTATACGATTTTCTGTGATTTTGATCCATTGCAAAAAATAGTGAATATCTTATATATAAAAGAAAGAAACGCTAGGGCAACCCTAAGAAACCCTAATGTCATATTTGTAATTTTTTTTCAATTTTTATCTCCTTAATATTATTTTAAATATTATTTTCGAATTTTATCATATTTGCATCCCCTAAATATTATTTTAAATATTATTTTTTATTTTTATCAGATTTTTGTCTCCTAAATATTATTTTTTATTTTTATCAAATTTTTATCTCCTAAATATTATTATAAATCATATTTTTTTTAATTTTATCAAATTTATATCTCCTAACTATAATTTTAAATATAATTTTCAACTTTTTTCTGAGACACCTAACTTAATCAAACTATTAATTGGAAAGGATCTTATATGCGCTAAAGATTATTTATGTAGAAACATACATAAACATCTTTATAATACAATTCATCAGTTTGGTCAATATACGCTTGAAGCAATCAAGGAAACCTATATGGTTCAATATAATACCGAGGAGTGGTATGAATGTGGAATTGGAGTTATTATGGAATGATTTTAATCATATTTTATCTCCTAAATATTATTCTAATTATTATTTTCATATTTTATCAACTTTTATCTTATTAACATTATTTCAAATATTATTTTCGATTTTTTATCAAATTTTTATCTCCTAACTATTATTTTAAATTTTATTTTCGATTTTTATCAGATTTTTATCTCCTAAATATTATTTTAAATATTATTATCGATTTTCATCAAATTCTCCTAGATATTATTTATAATAATCTGATTTTCGATTTTTACAGAAAAGGGTAAATAAATCTGATTTTCATCCCTAGCGGATTTTGTGACATCGTTTTACAGAATATCTGCAACATTTGAATTTTATTTCTTCCCTACCTAAGACTTCTTCTTTTGGTAACCCGAGTTTAGATTTTGTTTCTTATCTTCTTCTTCATCCTATTGACTGTGTGCCAATTAGTTTACATATTTTTCCATCATGGCTTATAGGTAATTTGATTTTGTTAAATTATGTGTTTCATTAATTTATACCAAAGTTTTCAAATTTTATGTATAACAATTATTTCATTTTATATGTTATTGGACATATTATTAAAAGAGATGATTTGAGAAAATTAACCAAATGCAATTTGTCCCGTGCATCGAACGGGTACAATTACTAGTATTTTTAAAAGAACAATTTCTTGAATGCTGATGGATAAAAACCATCTATACTACACATTTGTGAGTTAAATGAATCATAAAAAATGATTGGAAAATTTCAGGGAAAAAAGCGTGTCGAGTCCATGTCTTCATCTTCTTCATTTCCAGTGTGTACACAATTGTGTGTAACTCTAAGCTTGATGATCTGAAGTATAACCACAATCAATTCATAACAATCTCGAAATAATCAAACGAATGATAAAACCGCACTAATGGATAAAAAAATATCATCCATGGAAAATTTCCCAAAATAACGGGAGTTTATAAAGAGAAGCCGAACTCCAAATGTACATAAATTGACATAATTACCCTGTAGAAACAACTTTTCAAGTTTTTTGTAGGCAAACATCACTCAACTAACTAAATAAAATGCTGCAGGTGATGCCTATAGTTAACACATAACATATCCCTCGTTTTTCGTATCTTCAAACACGCCCATGAGACATGTGATCGGGTACCTCTCCTTGATTGTCCAATGGCATGTACTGTGCCATGATAGCCCTGATCTCCGAGTCCATATATCTCTGCATCAAATATTCATTTTCAGAAAATAGTATACAATAATAAAAATGAATTTTTAAAACATGCGGTTTATGTTGAAGATCCCATATGAAAAAAGAAAATCAGAGGCTTACCCTGATTCTATACTTGTACAGAGCGTAACCTGCAACCCCTGACACAGCCAAACCGAGAATCACAACCCACACAAAGCTCCAGCTATATTCTGTATTCGAGTCTTTACCTGCATATGCCACAAAAAGAATTACAAGAAAATAAAATCTAGTAAAAGTGTTATGTAATCATTCCATTCGTATAAATATCTATATATTGATTGAGCCCTCAAAATATAGACATTCAACAAGATATCGAAGAAAGTTCATATGGAATATGTTTTCGAAACAAATAGAGGATTTAAAGAATGTGATATTATGTCAGCAAATAAACTAATTAAGAACTTGTTTATTATATACTTACTGATACATGTATCGTGTTCATGTATGTACAGTGAGTTGCCGCCACAGCTGCATTCGTAACTTCCCCATGTGTTCTTACATTTGCAATCTGAACACTGACAAGCCGTTTTCTCCTTGCATTCATCGATATCTAAAGATAATCAAAATTAAAGAACCAAGTCAGCCACATTATTACAGCAAGGGAATTCAAAAAACGCAAAACAAAGTGCTTGAATATAATCATGTTACCTTCACAACTATTAGTTCCGTCACCCTTGAACCCAGCTGGACACTTGCAACCTTTTGTATGGTCATCCTGATATATATATTTGATATTCATCAAACAGCTAAAATTAAGCACCTCGACAATAATACTACTTTATTGCCCAAAAAAAAAAAAAGAAGAAGCACTGCAGTTGATTTAAGGAGTGAGCAAACTCACAATGCAAGCAGAATATGTCCTTCCACCCTGTGTTCCCTTCCAACAGCCTCCATTGTTTATTTCACATCTCAATGCTCCAGAAGCTTCCAAGGCCAAACAGGAGAAATACGATGATAAATGTCAGTAATAGGAGCAAATGAAACAAGGTTTTCGTTTTTCAGTTTCTTTCTCACGCGCATGACTAAGTTCTCATGCTAATTATGGTTAAAACATAACTTCTAGAAGATCAAACAAAAAATATATGAAAACGCATGTTCCAGTATTTGAATGGTTAACGAAGGAAGCACCAAATTTACCTTCACAATGAGTATAACCATCACCATTGAATTTCACGCCCTGCACAATAGGGCACTCACAAACCCTACCCCTAAAGGTGTCCTGTGACAAATTATCATCCATGATCAGATCGAATTTAGCAGCCAAAGGATCTAAATGAAACTAAAGAAAATAGGGGTACCCTGCAAGCAGTAATATTAGAAGCCTTATCCTGCCAGCATCCACCATTGTTATTCATACACTCGTTTGTTTCCATATCTGCCTCCCCAAAAAAAAAAAAGAAAAAAAAACAATTTTAGCACTTGGGTGAATAACCAAGGCATAGGGAATGATCTAAACTATCACTCTTAATTTGATGAAAAACTATCAAGTAAACAAAGAGTTAGAACAATGACCTGTAGTTAAACAAATGGTGGGTTCTGTAGTCTCCTCAAAACCTGAACAAATGGCCTTCAAAACTGCTCCCTTATCCAGCTTACCTGAAAAACACTTACATGAAAACCCTTTTCTTTTTGCATGGCAGGTGCTTCCTACAAACTTTCTTACCTCTATATTGTCTGTTGTTCACAACGAGAGTTGGCAAGATAGTAACATCTCCTCGTGAGCCCTTTCCTATCTGAGAATAAATTGTTGTGCCACCAGTTAATACCTCTTACGTATCCAAGAGCATCTTACTGAAATTATAAATGCCAAAAAAAAAATATTTAGTACAAAATTTTTAAAACAGCCAAACCTGTGCTTCCTGTTCTGCTTTTAGAATCGGGTTTTCAACATCTGCCTCGGTGTCTCCAATGCATTCATCGATTTTCTTAATATCAACTCCTGCAAATAAGCATTAGTAACTAACGGAACTGACTTTAAAATAAATAAATTCAGCGAAAGAATATGACCTACCAAGTGACTTAATTACTTCATCTGCACACTCTTTGGTATACTTCTTCTCTTTCATTGGACAGCGAATTGAGAAATCGGTAACATAGTCCCACCACTGCCATGGTTTTCCGCTTTCATTAGCGACCTTAAAGAAGCAAGCTTGACGTAGATTTTGCACCACAACATCCTTCCCATCATATCCTCTGCTGAAATCTTGCTCAGGATCCGGTGCACAATACCTCCCATGGTTGATGCACTGTGACTTGCACTGTTTACTCAATATAAAAGCCTCAGGGCAATACCATGTTATATAATGCGGACTGAACTGAGTGTACCCTTTCTGTTCAAGAATCTGAGCAGCTCCCTTGAAACTTTTAACAAAATCTAACTGACTCACACACTTGGGACCACACTCATCATTACTGTTTGTCCAGAACTCGTACTCGACTCGCTCGTCAGGATGTGGAAGAGCCTCCCTCCAGTCAAGGTTTATGTTGACCATTTCTCCTTTGGATAATTCTTTCTTTATTTTGTCACCGAGATCTTTGCTGATGAGTGCTGATGGAATAGTAATGTTCTGCAGATAATCGGCACGTGCATCTTCTTCTTCGGGGGTGTCCATGGTGATAAGAGGCTCAACCCTGTCATCTGCCACAAGAATAGCTGCTGCTCCAGCATTCTGAGCATTCCACGCCTTTAATGTAAAAAAGCATTCTGCCAGTACATGATGAAGATAAGTTGCCAAACGGTGACAAAGGAATAAATATGCGAGCATATTTTAAGCGACAAATGATAATAACTGATCAAGAATTAAGACAAGTGTGCTTGCACATGGTCATGCAGTTCCCAAACGAAATCAAACTCTTGCAACATATATAAGTCGCTAATAAACACTCAAAGATGTTAAAATGCATACATCAATCACAAAGAAGGATAAGAGAAACAACATACCATATTAATCTGAATTTGTATTTAATTGGAGAATTGTTTAGTAAAAAATGGTTTAATCAATGTATAATTCAACTCCAAAGTTATCGCACTCGCGCCGATTTGAAGTACTAATACATGGCATAATAAGTAGAGTAAGTAAACATCTAATCCCAAATCAATTTAGTATTTCAGTTAACACACATGCACTGAGCAATCAAAATGAATTAGCAGAACCAGATAACCAAAATTAACACAACGGAACATCGTATGGCGACCACCCAATAGAAGTTAAGCAAATAATGAAAAATTACCCCCTCTGTCAGCAAGAAGGAAGATTGGAAGGCCTCCAGGCTTAGTCTTCAAGGCAATATCAAAATCCTGGAAATTCTTGCATGCCTTTTCATTCGATTTAGGGTAGAACACAGACCCAGCCATTGATCCTCCATAGTCAGGTACACCAAAATTCCCAATTGCACATTCATAAACATCTTTCAGTGAGTCCGGTGACGTCACCTTCAAACTATTCTTCTCCACTACGAATCTTCCCAAACAAGACACAACCAGTACAAACCAGACACAAGCCCAAATTCCAAACTTCTCCCTCATCTTTCTTCACTGTGACTCAATTCTCCTTCGATCAGATCAACAAACTGAATCAACCAAATCAAACTTAAACTTATAAAAATCAGCTCTTTATTTAACCCACCCGAAATTGATGAAAGCCCAGATCCTGAGTATTGCTGATCGATCAATTTATGAAAATCCCCTCAGTAATTCTACAAAAACAAATTAAAGGAGCCAGAGGTAGAGAAAGTCAAGCAGGTGAACAAATAGAAGAGTCAACAGCTGGTAAAATTGTAAAACGAAAAGATTTATTTAACTCAAGTTTGATTTTTAATTGATAAGAAAAGACGTGTTCATAACGCTTACTTGTCACACAGCGAAGAAGGATCTAATTAGGATTACTATTTATAAATTAATGATTTTGGACTGAAATTAACTACTTCCATATCAAATGGATCTATGTATATAGATCAACTCTCACTGTAATTACTAATTACTAATTACTAATTACCAACTCTTAATAAGCAAGCAAAGGTAATAATAAACCTGTTGGGAGATAGCATCTTCTCTCCTATTTCTAGTCTTGAAGAAGCAAGGGTTCAGATTTTGTTTGTGACGTTGGTTTCCAAAAATGGACGGTGAGTATATAGCCACGTGTTTATTTGATTCGGTTAGGTTCTGATGAGGTGGTGGGGCCCACTGGCTTATTTTGGACTGTTTCATGGGGTTGTTTGCATGTTTGCCACGTGCTACTCGATGCAGGATTAGATGTCGATTCCACTAGACTACCCTGAACCTCAATGTATGAGAAAATTATTTCCCTTATCTTTTTTTCCTGTTTTTTCTTTTTTTCTTTTATATATATATATATATATATATATTAGTATTTTAGGGCCCATAAAGAATAGAATGGGCCTGAGCGCTTACAATAACTTGCACGCAATAATATTGCAGCTAGTTCTCATTCCGAAAAGGAATCGATTGTATTGTTTTAATAGAAATCACATATGGTTGTACTTGTACATCGCAATATTGTCTATTCAATTCACGTCCCTAACCAATATTTAAAGAATATTGTTCAAATAAATGGAAAGTGGTTACACGTCGAACACCCACCCACCCACCCAAGAAAAGCAAGCCCCCATCTTTAAAAAAAAAAGAAGCTCCCACTACAAAAAAATTGGGTGGAAATCTAGTCTAGTCCCATATCCCATTTCTTGAAACAATATGAATAAACGATTGAAACATTTATTTCAATGCTGCTAACTAAACTAATTAATCAGAAAGAAAGGCAAAATAAAAAAGTATGGGGGGAGCCATAGTATACCTAGACAGCGTATTAGTGCCGTTGAGCCTCTTCTTCACAATAGGATACCATGCTTATCTATGGCACAATCTCCGCCACAAACCCTCCGTCACCTCCATCGGCATCAACATGTTGAAGAGGAGAGCTTGGCTACGACAACTCAATCAGGCACGCACACACGTGTATACATTATACAGTACTATTACATATACATCATATGTATAACTTATAAACTAATTTGTTGTATGTACATAATAATTGCAGGGAGATGACAAGAAGGGCATGTTAGCGGTGCAGAGCTTGAGGAACACACTAATGTTTACAATTCTGACGGGCACCGTCACAATCCTAGTCACCATCTCTCTGGCCGCCCTAACCAACAACGCCTTCAACGCAAACCACATCCTCACAACAACCGAATTGTTCGGATCTCAATCGGGACGGATCATGGTCCTCAAATACGGTTCGGCCTCCATATTTCTGGTTGCGAGCTTCTTGTGCAGCTCCATGGCCGTGGGGTTTCTGGTGGATGCGAATTTCTTGATCAACGCCATCGGAGAGTTCACGCCGGCGGCTGGTTACACGGAGGCAGTGGTGGAGAGAGGTTTCACTATGGCGGTGGTTGGGAACAGAGTGCTCTGCGTTGCTTTCCCTATGATGATGTGGATATTCGGGCCTCTGCCAGTGGCGCTGTCCTCTTTGGCTATGGTGTGGGCCCTCTATGAGCTTGATTTTGTTTCAGCTACTATCTATAGACCTGTTTAATATAATTGATCAATCATATATTATTGAAGAACTATTTAACAACCAATATTGTGATAACTTATTATTATGAGCTACTATCTATAGAGTACAATGGTAAAAAAACTAAGCATCCATTTTAACGTTATGAGCAGAACCAAAATATCGAAACCCAAAAAATAACAGGATATTTTTCATAGCACAAGGAATCAGAAAATTCATGTTTTTGAGCAATCCCATTTTCTGAAAAATTGAAGAGAAAAGCTATAAAAAAGTTGACAACAATTGACAAGTTTACGCAGTAATTATGCAGTAGTCCTAATTAACTCCTAATGGGATGATTACAAATGAAGTGTAGAGAAAGCAGTCATAATACTTTACTTGCAACGAGTAATACATGCATGTAAAATAAAACCTTCACTAATTAGTTTTTGTGAAAACTCAACCAATTTTAAGAGCAACATTATATTGTGATTAATTTTTGCATCTGAAAGTAAATATAGATAGGTCTTTGTTTATGTAAAATTGTTGTTTCCGACCACAATATGAATCATCCAATCCAAGACTTGTGATCAGAAGAACTATTAATATATAAAATTGTGAGACAAGTTTCGAAGATGAAGATTCAGATTTCAGAGAGAGAAGATCAATAAAGAGTTACACTTTGTTTCCCGTACGTACGACGTACAGTTGGGCATGCATGCATGATGAGCACCTTAATTCTCTCCCTAGTAAGCTTAATTCGGAGTGATGAGCCTCTCTCTCTCTATCTAATAAGGTAATTAAACAATTATAAATTGAAATTACACAGAAGAAGCAAGATAATTAATGAACTGGAAAAATTAAAAATAAAAACCCAATTGCTGCTAAGTAAAACAAATAAAGCTGTACCTTACCTTCTTCCGATAATAATAAGCAATAATACCCAGTACCTGTACAAGTTCTTCCGATAATCAATAATTACAGCAACACTTGAGATCAGTTTTCAGAGTTCCTTCCAATTAACTGAACCTAAAACTCTATTATAATATTGGTATGGGCCTTTATAAAGTTGGTATGGGCTTTCCGCTCGACCCAAATTGTAATAGTAGTAGTAGTAGTAGTACCAAATTGGTTTATTTTTTAAATTAAAGTTGTTAAGACATATATAGTTCCCAGATTATAAATGGAACTTTACATTGTAATTTCATTTATTTTGATATTTTCCGGCCAACACCATGAAAAAGAAAAAGCCTTTTTTTAATTTAATTTAATTTAATCGTCAGAAAATTAAAGTAGATTTGGTTGTCGAAATTAAAGACGAAGAGAAGAGGCCATAATAATAATAATAATTAATAATTCATTTGGATCGATCTCAAGTGGTGTTGTATGTAATATGTATGTTTCCTATCACGTTTTCACTTTAAACATACTGATTCACACGAACCACTTGATAATTTCCTTAATTATAAGATGTTCACATCATACAAATATATATTATTATATACAATATTAATAATAATGGGACCTTTAATTGGACCACACATACATACAAGTATGTGATGTGATGTGACCCAATTTGAAAATTCAAACAATGATATTTAATAATTTTAACTATATAATAAATAAACCAAAGTTGAAACCTTCCACGAAATTAAAGGCCTGGCAGGCATTCTAATTAATTACTTTATAATATTTTAAAATTATTTTGCATGACACTGTTATTTATCGATCTGCTGATGTTTTCATCCTTACGTTTGCCCCGCAACGCAAGCAATTCATTTTGGACGAGTTGTTTATTTGGAGTAATTCATCTTTTTCCCAAGGGTCAAATTGGTGCAGACGTGGATTACATTTTCCATGTATACTGATGATGATCGATCCAGAGTATTTTTTCCAAGTAACTATATGATATTTATTATTTGACCCCACTTTTATTTTTGCTCAAAAAGTAATTAATGATACGAGCTTTTCTATTCTTACATTATTGGATATTCTCTCTATGTCATGCTAACTAGTATAATTAATTCTTTTCTTTTTCTTTTTAATTTATGTTACGTTGAACTATTTGGTTGTTGCTGGATTTTCAAAATCCTTCTGTTCCATTAAATTTAGGTGATGAAAATCTAATAATATTATTGGCTATTATTTATATTGTGGAATATAATACGTATATGATACTAGCTAGCACCAACTAAGATATATCCAAACTGATGAATAACACAACGAATTAACCAAGTACTGCATGTGATACTCACCTTAATTCTTTTTTAATTTCTCATCACTCAGTTTACCTTATAATTAATTAATTATTAGATCAGAGTAATTACGTACACTAGTTATAGATTAAGGTTAATGATCATAATCAGAAAGTTTAACATGAATAACTTATAAGTACTCACACATACATCGATCGATCGACGATATTCATAGAAATAAATGGCATGCATATATTAGTAGTAGGTAGCTAGCTAGATCTGGTTAAACAAATTAGAGTCTATCAAGTTATGCATATAAATATATATGTGAATGAAACTGAAAAGGAAACGGAAATGGAAATGGAAATGGAAATGGAAACGAAACTAGACTCCTCGCTATGTACAGCAGCATTATATTACATGATTATTAATTACATCCACTACGTAATTAAGTACTCTAAAGTAGAAATATGAAAACACTAATTAATTAAGGGAAAACTAATTAAACTAGCTTAGGTAATGATGATATAATTAAGTGAAGGATTCAAGTTGAAAATCTTCAAAATTAGAGGCAACCATTATGTCCATCTCCATACTAGTGTGATTAGTGCTTGTAGTGCAAGAAGAAATAACCGAGCCGTCTGAAAATTGACCCCAAGTCAGATTATAATTATTATAATGATCCTGGGTTATGAAATAATCCCCCCCATGAATATGAATATCCGACGGTGGCGGCAGTACTACTGATGCAGGAAGCTGTGAAGAAGAAGATGAAGAAGGAGATTTCAAAACTCCTCCTCCGTAATTATTATTATTGTTATAATAATCTTCCTTTGCTTCCTCTTTGATGATGCAGATTGCAGCTTCGTCAGAGTTGGGCTGCTTCTTCTTCTTCTTATTATAATTATCCGTCGTCGTCGGGTCTGGAAGGTGGCGTGATCCGAAGCTCCAGATGACGGAAGAAGAATCGTGTGAGGCAGGAGGGTCCATGATGATGTGGTGTGGTGACGACGATGACGAAGACGACTTTAGAAAGTCTTTGCAAGAGTGTTGACCATGGTAAGTTGTCCTGTACAGAGGTGGATCTTCTTGTATCTTCTGCACCTGTTTTGATGCTTGGCATCCTTGATCAAACTTGTGCGTGCATCTGAAGTAGTTTCTGCATTCAATTCATTCATTTTTTTTTTATTTTTAATTAATTTCCTTTTCTTCATTAATTACCATTATTATTATTATAATATTTTATATTTTATAACCTAATTAGTAATTAGATCAATATATATATGTATGTACCTGGGATGTGTGGCGTTAAGGATATCTTTTTGTCCATATTTCCTCCATGCATGACCGTCCTCAAACAACGAACCTGTCTCTTTTGTCCATGTTTCTGAACTTCTCCTGCAATCATATATCATTATTTTTTATATTATATATAAGCTATAGTATTGTGAAGCACTAAATTGTCACAATCCACATGTGAAAAGACTATTCAACCCTTGTAACAAAAATGATGTCCCTAGCTATTATAGTCTGCTTGAAGGCCGTTTCATCATCAAAATTTTAAACTAATTAATAAAATAACATATATAATTAATGAAAATACCTTCTTTTGTAGCAGCCTCTCCGATCTTTAGGCAGCGGCGTCTTGCAGCTGTCGCCGGAATCTTCGGATTTCAGTGAAGGTGAACTGAACCCCACCGGAACTTGAGAAGCCTCATCGGAAGAAAGAATCGAAAGGGAATGAGTAAATGAGTCCAAGATTTTGCCGACTAGGCCCTGAGCAGGCAGTACAGAAGAGGAAGCATCATCATCAACCCCAACCCCATGATGACGACTTTCACGAAGCATCTGCCGGAGCTGGTCAGCTACATCCCGACCGCGAGTCAGTTCACCGATAACCCTAATTTTCCGATCAACCGCCTCCTCTGTTGCAACCCAGCAAGAACTCGTCATGCTATATATAGTAGTATTATATTATAGATAGATATATTTAATTTACTGTATATATATAAATAGTAGTAGTAGGAAGATGAGCCAAAATGCCTTTTGAATGTGTATTTATATTATTAGAAACTGTACGTTGTGCTTCTCTGAAATTAGGTAGGTAATTTGCACAGAACATTGGAGGAAATATGTAGGAAATTCATGGCGATTGTGGAAAATCCCAACCCTACGCGCATGCGTACGATCACTCGCTTAAACCACTTGTCCGCCCACTTGTGTGGTGTGAGTTGTATGTGGATGGGATTGGGGGTTTGTTGAGAAAAAAATACTATAAAGTAAAGAAGATCGTGGAGAGTGCGTTGAACAAGGTATGCATAGCGCGTGGTTTGAATTTGCAATCGCAGTAATGATGACGTAATCATGCTTTGTCATGGTGTATGTCATTCCATGTGCAACTAGGCTGCTTGGATTGGAATATAGTACTACTAGTGGTCGTAATTTACGAATCTTAATAAGATACTAGTACAATAATATGAATTAACTTTCTCTATAGATTGATATAAGTAATGACAATAATGACCTCAATATAATCTACGAGATGATGCGATCCATCGTTCAATGTTTTTTTGTATTCTTTAGTTTATCACAAATTAAATTACATTAAATGGGTTGTGATAAAGACTCATCGCATATGCCAAATTTTCTATGCTTTCAAATAATTTGCTCATTACATATATAACAAATTAAATATTCTTACTCAAAAAAAAAAAATTAAATATTCATTATACTGAAGAAAAAATATGTTACATTTAATTAAAGAACTAATCATATGGTGAAGATTTGATATCAGAAAATCTGAAAAAGGGTACCTCGAAGATTATATTGCTATGTAAAGCCTCTATTATCTGGTCCACGGACCCTAAAGTTCCAACATAATTAATTAATCTCCCGAATAATTAATATATCGCTCTTAATCAATTAAAAATGAAAAATAATATTAATTAATTAATGGTAGTAATATTTTTAAAAATAGATAGTTATTGTGGAACAGATGGAGTATAATATACTAGAGCCGATAGCCGTCTAGATTATGAAGCTCAGACCATATATATATGTTGATTAAGCTTGGAAACAAATACTGTGTTGTATGTACAATAAGTAATTCATTTTCAAGCTATATATGAATTATCAATGATAATTATATATATTATTAAAGAACGAATCATATGGATGGATCTTGTCTCGTTTCATCAGTTTAATTCGTTTACTAATTATATATATATATAAGATTTGGGCATCATAGTAAATACAGATTAAGTATGATGTTACATGCATCTTGACATTTGACAACACTTGACACTTTTTAAAATGAAAATATATATAATATGTGTTGGAATAGAGTGTTGGTTGGGGTCATGAGAAAAAATGTGCGTTCACACATGAATATAATATATAATATATGTGGAATTTAAAAAAAAATCCCAAGTTGAACTGAGTCTCTCCATGTGGGAAAACTAGTGTTCACACTGTATTAATTTTCTTGATTAAGATCGTGGAAAGATGTGAAGTAGAAGACAAATAACCTAAGATTTTGTATTTCATTTTTTCTCCACAATAAATCAATAGTAGTACTTGTTGCATTTTAGATCGTGTCTGTACGTTAAGCAGTTACCAAGAATTCATTAACAGATTATTAAACGTTTTGAGTCACCATTATTGAAGATTATGAAAAACGTGAATCTGTTGCCACCACTGGGCTGGTATTTTTATCTAACTAATTTTTCTTTTCACATTTACAGGCTAACTTTACTAATACAAATAAGTAATTAAAAATGCATCTTTTATAAGTTATATAAAGACATGTTGTTACAGATAGAAGATATGTAGAGGATAAAACAAACACCTACTTTCTCTAAAGAAATCGACCACTCTCTCTATACACGGCGTTATGCCAACTTTCCCTTACTTGTAAAATCTCATATATGTGCCTATACAGTACAGTACAGTACATTCTTCCAGGTACAACTAAAAATACACCTCGGATTGTAGCAACACAGAACGCACCTTCTCGACTCGACTTTTTGTTCTCAGCCCAACACTTTCTCCTTCACTAAGATTAACATATATAGCCTTGTCCAAATATAAGCCCAGTCCCTCTCCCCTGCTGCTTTGTATAAGTTAAGTTGAATTATTGTCTCGGCTGTTCCTGCTCGTTTCACATGCCATCAATTCCATTTCTGCTGCTCATCCGAAATACCTGGACAAGGTGACCAAGGCATCAGATTAGATTGGACACTATCAAAAACTTGAGTAACTGCAAAAATACACCACCAATGTTCTTCCTAACAAAAACAAAACAAATCTGACTTACCAATAAATTCGACGCTTGTATACCGCTAGGATCTGAACAAAGGTGAGGAGAGGCTCACTATTCTCTATTAAATATAGTATACATGTAACACGTCAGCTTGAAACCTCATCTGTCTTCGACCCTATATGTCGCCTTCTTCTTCTTCTTCTCAATATCTCACCTTCTCTAGCAATTTGGATATCAGAAGGCCAGAAAGTCTGATGGAATACTTTGAAAATAAACCGCGGGAGCAATCCTATAACCGTTATCAGCAAAATGGAGAGCCAATAAGCTGGTGACTTCACCAGATGGTATATTGTACTGCAAAATAATAACATCATCATTACTGTGAAACCTATTGACATCTTACAGAAAAATTAAGATCACTCTGAAAATAAACTAACCCATAGTTCGGGAAAGCAGGTATAGAATCAAGCACCACCATACAACCATACGTTACGATTATTGATCCCCATATTGCAAGATGAGTAACAAATACCCATCGCTGAATATCCATCGCCAAGTGTACATTGACTAAGATAACAACTGCTATCGTCCACAAGCTGCCCATACTCCATATGTCAATAGTGCTCTCTCTATAGTTGAACAACGGTACATAGAAGAGAACAAGACTCTGCCATAATGTGTCAACCATTGTAATCCAAAAGAGGGACATATTGTAACTCTCTTGTCGATGGCCCGCCGCATAAAGCTTTGGATACTTGAGTAGTGTCTTGTCACTTAAGTTCTTGTCTAGAACACCAACAACGATGGTAGGTACTGAGGTATATATAACAGAGTAAAAAACACTGCTCCAGTCTGTCAGAGCAGAGGTAGTTGAAAAGGCCGTACACAAAATGTACCTGCCAAATTGAACCAAGAAAAACATAAGTCAAAAAAGGAACGTATACATACATTTCTCATGTGCATCAGTAATTTTAGCCAAACACATAATACAAAATGGGAACTAAGAAGCCATTGAACCAAATTAGCTGAAGATATGTGAAAATCATCCTAAACAACTAAAAGTTTCATTAATAATCAGCTTTGTGCCTTCGTCAATTTTATTATCAATTTAAATGCATAGGTGAAGGTTTTGTAAGGAAAAAGGAAACACAATCATCAGCTAGTGCAATGTAAAGACCAAGGATAGTTTGTATTACCAGAAAAGCATCAATACAAACACGGCATTTCGATAGAAGTTATAGAGGACTAGGTAACCAATACGCTGATAATTCCAATGTCCATGCACCAAAAGCAATCTCTTCAAAAATCTGAATTGCCCCATAGCAAAATCAGATGCCATCACCGCTTGGCGCCCTTCTTGACCACATATTCCAACACCAACGTCCGCCATTTGGATCATTGAAACATCGTTAGCCCCTGCAGAAGCATTATCAATTAGATCTAGATAAAAGTAATTTAAATAACCTTCCAGAGGGAAATAATATTTCATCAAGCATCATAAAGTGTATGTTCAGCCAGAATAACAAGTCTAGATTTGCAATGTTAAGAGAAAACATAATCAAGCCCCCAAAGAATAAGCAAGTATCAAATAGTGATTGTATAATTCTACATGTATTCAACGATGACTAACTCACCATCGCCTATAGCTAATGTCATTTCATCGGTGCGGCCTTTTATGAGGTCAACAATTCCAGCCTTCTGTAAGGGTGCAACCCTACAACAGAGCACAACCCTACACGAAGTCGCAAGGTCGAATAACTGATAAAACAAATGAAATTTTAAACTGTAAGAAATTTTGTTAGTAAAGGATTCGTAAAGGAACTAAATGAACTTTCACACTAAGACATTAATACACTTGAAGACCTTCGTAGTAAACCAATCCAAGACAGCAAAACAAAGCATTAAACATGTCAAAACACGAGAAATAAAATAAATAAAAAACGGTACGTGCCTCAGACTCCAAATCTCTCTCTAGTATGTAAACCAGACTATTCCCATCAATTATAAGGGCTAGCGGCCCAAAATTAGGTGTGTCTTCCTCGCCTGCACATTGTTGGGGCATACTGGACGACTTTGTCTGAGAAGGGAGTTCAAGATAATCAGGTTCAGCTTTCCTCCTCAATTTAGTGATCTGACTAGAGCAACTGGTAGAATTCACATTGTATTTGGCCATGGCGTCACATAAAAGTTTCCTGCATTCATTTTCGGAATTTCCATTGATGATAATCTGGTTCATATCTGCAGTCAAGAGTCTGCAAGAGAGACCAATAGATATTGCTGTCTCTTGCTTATCTCCAGTGAGGATCCACACCTTTATTCCAGCCTGGCGCAAGGACTCAATGGCTTCTGGTACGCCCTCTTGTAACTTGTCCTCAATAGCTGTAGCCCCAAGAAGGGTTAAGTTGCATTCAATTAAGGCTGCTGTCTGGCGCAGTTTTACAGATCTGTCAGTCAAAGATGTGCAAGCATCTTCATATCTGTGTTGCCACTCTGCCAGTTCTTCACCAGTAAGGTTCCTAGAGGCGAGAACCAGAGTGCGCAAACCTTCAGATGAATAGTCATTCAAATGAACCTGTGTCACATGTCTTATATGATCCTCGGCAGGCCGATCATTGTCTAAGATGCTGAACATTGATGTATCAGCCCCCTTAACCAATACCTTAATGGTGTGATTTGGAAACCTGATAACAACCGACATTCTTTTACGCACACTATCAAACTCATGAAGGCCCAAAACTTCCAACCTACATCACACAGGATAAAAGAATTATAAGCCAAAAATACAACTTTAATATATACAGGATTAAACAAAGGAAGACATATTTCAGTATGAAACTTCCACAGGTAACTTAACCAAGGAAAATCCGATTAGAAAACATCTTATGTTGCATATTATTCCTTGCCAAGTCGGCATCCAAAAAACCATAGCATAACTAAATCTTAGTAAATAAGTGAGCTATCTACCTTATTTTCTCACCATTGACATCAATAACAATGTGTCCAGATGTCCTCTCAAAAAGTGTATAACCATAAGCAGAAGCTGCGGCAACCAGTGCCTGTTCATCAGGAGATTCACCTTGATAATCTATAGATACAGGACTACCACCTAATACACCGTCACAGCCACTTGAAGAACTTTCAGTGAGAATAGGAATCACAGTATTACAAGACGCCAGTGTCAGAAAGAACTCATGCGCAGCAACCCCTTCTTCTCCAGATAAATCCTTGTACAACAATTTCATGAGCTCCGGATCAGGGGTAATTTCCGATTTAAGCTTCCATTTTCTTCTATCTACTGTAACATCTTTCGCTGCACAGGTGAGATCTTGTAAGTAACAAAGAAAAACACCAAAAAAAAAACGATCAACAATTGATTCTACCTTAGCATTTGTAACTAATGTATAACTAGGGGGTTTTAGCAATAGTCAGAAACAATAAAACTGCACTGTTGCAATTACTTGAAAGTATAATAGAGAAGAAACGAAGAATACACTATGAATACCCAAACTGATATGTCAAAATGCCAAAGGAAGGGTCGAATTATATGAGCTATTGCAGCCCTATTCGAGCATATCCGAGCAAACGGCATACAAAGGGTTTCATTAGCCTCTACACAAGATGTCAATACATTTGCAATCAAACATCTGAAGTATAACTGTTTGATAGCTAGTTCTCTATATGAATATCAATTAAATGCTTTATTGGTGTTTATTAGACCTCGATATGCAAGGACAAGGGGATAATATTTGAACTTAAAGAAACCACATTTGTTCATCAGAATGGCTTTGAAGTGTCATTTTAAAATACAAAATGAACATTGAAACACTTGATAGATTAATGATGGGCATAATGCTTTATCACAACCTCTAAATTATTATCAAATGTAAAACATGATTTTCAGCCATACCTTCTAGTGATGCATCAGCGTCAGGGTAACTGTTATCATAATTCTTTCCCCAGATACTAGCTTTTCTGAATTCCATCTTGTTTTCTGTCAGTGTGCCTGTCTTATCGGAGAATACATATCGTATTTGTCCCAAGTCTTCATTAATATTCAAGGATCTGCACTGAAACCTAGAATTGCTGCTACTATCATACATATGCTGGTCACCAATCATGAAATATGATTGCCCCAACCGTACTAGCTCCATGGTGATATAGAGGGATATTGGAATCATTATCTGGAAAACTATAATCGAACTCAAAAGTGAGAAAAAAGTCTCCATAGGAATCCCATAATACTTGTACTTCTTTCCTTCTTTCCCCTTCTGGAAGTAAATTTTTCTGTAGTAAGGCAGTGTGTCAAGCTGGGTCTCATGGCGCTTCAACCATAAACCCATCCCAAGTGCTACAACAACACACATGATTAAAAGGAAAACAGATAACCAGATAGTTTCCCTATTCATGTAGGTTTCAAGTCTGCTTCTTTTAGAAGATGACATTGCACTGTTCAACATAGCTTTCGTATCTTGACCGGCATAAACCACAACCCCAATTGCCCATTCAGTGTTCTTCAGCTGACAACCACGCAAAATAATATTTGACTGACTGAGAGGAAAACGCTGCCCTTTCAACTCCATATTGGCCATGAACTCATAGATATTCCTATTCGGCTGCTCACATCTGACAACCCCGGATATTGTCGTCCCCTCAAGTACCAATTTGTTAGTTTCTTGTCGAGCATACCTTGTTTTCAAGTTCGACTCGCCATCCAAATTCATTGTCTGTATGTAAGCAATTCCACTAGAATCATTAGTTCCTAACAACACCATGTCACAAGGAATGGTCTCATCAGAACTAATCTTCACCACCTCACCTGCCTGAATCTTTTTCCACCTTTTGGGGTGGAATTCATTCAATTGGAACACTAGCGTCTCCCGATTATTCTCATTCCTGTCAGACCTGTGCCTTCGCCAATCCTCATAACCATCTTTTACAGCTGTGACAGTCAGCACGAAAAGAAGAGGGAAAAGGGAAACCGTTCTTCCGAATACTGCAAGAGGGGGAAGCTGGTTCAAAGCGGCAATGGCTAAAAAATACAAATAAGCAACCCTATGGAACTGAATGAAGAGATTCTTTGGCAAAAAGTTAAGCAATGTGTATTTGCTCGTCCGAATCTCATTTCCAGAGAACCCAAACTTATCATTAGTCTTCTTCGGATCATTAATATGGATCAACCTGGGGTTGTCATGATGCGGTATATTTTCCTCGAGCTGCATGCTTATCTGAAGGAACCTTTCAGATCTTCGAGATGTCTGAGGTCTGTTCAAGTCCTGTACCCTAGAAGAAGAAGCCCCAGAGATTTCAAGAGCTTTCAAGTGTCGCAGATCCATTACACCACCCCATGACACAAGGCGTTTCCGCTCGCGTGGGGGGCATTGCTTATGAAGTTCAGCCGACCAAAATTCCTTTCCGGCAGGCTGTAAAGTGGGGCGTTCCAAAAAATTCTCTGCAATAGTTTTACCCTCACCTAGGGCAAAATTTTCCTCCGACTCTTTCAGATTGTAAGCTTCGCAATTTTGTGTATCATGAGCAACCCACGAAGAGATTGGCGTAGTCTCGGACAAACATCCCAGTGGGTTATTTTTCAAGGATGAGTGACGGCGATGGTGATGGGGCTGAGGGTTTGGGGCATAAGAGGGTTCAAATTGGGACAACAATGGCTTGTCGGAAGACATAAATGATCCACCAACGCAGAAAACACATTGGAGAATAACATAACTAACCCACACACAGAAGAATTGCTAAAATCCTACAAAACCCAGCCAGATAATTGAGCCCCCAAAGTGTCTCCGTCTCCCTCCTCACCCAAAAGGCAAAACCTCAGGAGAATTCCCTACCAAAATCAACAATATTTGCAAACACAATGGGGAGGCCACCTAAAAGCATTAACCCTGAACCATTTCGATTCTTAAGACAGCATCCAATAAGCTGCAAATATGTTTACAAAATGGTACCTTTACTTAGACACAAAAAAAGAGAGGATAGATCCAAACAAAAATCACGAAACAATTAGAAACAAAAAGTCTGTATAGAGCAGCAGCACTCCACAGCCTTCAATAAAAAGCCAGAACTGCGAACACAAACAAAAAAATAAAAATAAGACCCAAGAACAAACAAAAACGATATTTGAATAAGGAATTGATTGCCACAATGCGCAACACAATAATGCAGCAAATAAATGCTACCATATAGTATGATGTATAGTAAAATGACAGTAACAATAAAAGAGCCTGAACCCTGACCTGTGGAAATTTTGGAAGCAAGAGAGAGAGAGAGAGAGAGAGAGAGAGGGTCCGTTTAATTATGGTCTGGGAAAACGTGAATTGATAGAAATGAATGAATGCAGTGAATAAAAAAATGTCAGATTTCAGGTCTACGATCCCTTTCTTTGTTTGTTGGCTTCTTCGCACTCTGTTTCTGAATCATGATCAACTTTTATCTATCTCGCATGTAGCAACAAAAAACTGATTTTACTTAAACTAAAGATAAATTAGAGAGAGAAAAAAAATGTAATGTTTTGAATCTGAAATGATGTTGACAGGGTTTGGGGTGGAGATCGAGATCGAATTGGAAGGAAGCAAGGAGGGAGAGAGAGAGAGAGAAGAGAACAAGAGAGAGAAAATGGGATACGAGTGGAATACCACGATTATTGGCTTTATTTTATTTTATTAGTAATATATATTATTGCACTCCTTTAATTTGTTTTACAAATTTCTCTTCCAAATTCCCAATTAAACACCCCATCCCAGGCCCAGGCCACCATTATTATTAGTATTGTTGTCTCTTTTCTTTAATTTAGGCAACCATGTTTGGAAAAGCAAAAGATAACAGGAAAATGTTGAAAAAGCAGATAAGAAAAAAAGAGACACTATTTTGCACTTTGGTATTAGTTGGTAAAATTTAGAGAAATTTGGTATGTTTAAAAAATAAAAAAAATTAGACTCCATTTACTGATGTGCATTGTTGATTTTGTACTGGCTAGTATAGAAATGTGGGTTCATGGGCCATGGTTTAGTACTTCATAAATAAATAAATAAAATAGTACCAGTGATAAAAGCAATGTGGGTTCATGGGCCGATTGTTCAATATTTATTTATGTTATAAGACTATGGTCTCATGGTTTAGGACGTGTCACAAAAAGGCAATAAACACTATTTATGTATGTCGGTGGAAATGAAAAACCAGTGTATTGAATAACATATATTTCAACAAACTCTCATTAGCAGAGTTGGTACCTAGCCTTACCATTAGGGTAAAAGGTCTAGGGTTCGAGTCCCCCTCCCCTGCTTCCCCTTGTAATGACTTGAATTACTCAAAAAAAATAACTCTATCAGTTTCACAAGTGGCTATAAAATATTATACCAGCTTTCGTTTGTTCAAATTTTGAAATTTTAAAGGCGTAAACTTGCCACCCCGAATGCTTAGTCCTACTGCGCTCGAGGATCCAGATAACAATTTCGGACTTTTACATTACACATAATACACCAGAGAAAAGAAAGAAATGATTTACTTGAATAGTACCGAAACGAGGAAGTTTAATCACATCATATTACCACAAGCTGCATTTTCAAAAAAAAAAAAAAAAAAAAAACTCGGGCGCAAAATTCCCACTCGTTCGTATTCCCGGAGAGAGGGAAATCAAACAGAAATGGCGATGAAAAATATGATTTATTTACTGACAACTTCACTTCTTCGGAGTGTGCAATGGCGTTTCGTCTTTCTGTTGATCGGTTTTGATATGAGGCTAAAGATCAAGAATGGGAAAAAAGAAAAAAAATATAAAAAGCAAGTTAGTATAAATTACATAAATGGGAAGAAGATACGACAAATCTCGACACAGGGCAGGACTTGCCTTGTTTAAATGATGATGATTCATCTTCTTCTCTTGTTCCTTATCTCTCAAAGATCGAATCCCAGATATCCTCTATTCACACAAAACAACAAAAGACCCATTCAATTCAACACACATGATCATAAATCACAAATTCATTTTTGTTTTTCATTCAAAAATTAAATTCAAATTTCAGACAACTGATTGCCAGAAAAATGGTTACCATGCAAGCTAATTTGATCTCCTTGAGTCGGTAGAGGCGATCAACCTCGATCTCGAGCTGTTTCTGAAGCTCACCTCTGTGAAGAATCTCCTTCAAATGCAGATCGAGCATCAAACCCCTCTCCTTTAACAGCCTCTCGTTCTTGTCTCTGTCAATCCTCTGCCTCTCGAGCTTTTCGCGAATGGCTGACAGTTCATCCGCCAGAGAGGCGTCGAAGGGTGGTTGAATCGGAGGAGGAGATTGTTTTTTAACTAGTGTGGTGGTGGTGGTGGTGTAAATGTGAGGGACATTTTCTTTGTTAGAGATATGATGTGGAGGGTGGTGTGGCTTAGGTTTCAGATTGGAAGTGGTGGTGGTGGCGGCTTTGGTTTCAGATTGATTAATATTCTTGGGCTGGAGTGGTCTGCGGCTGCTGCTTTTCGGAGGAGCTCGGATCAGCTCATGGCCGGAGAGTTGGGATTGAGCTGCCAACATTTATTTATTTATTTATTTATTTTTAATATTCTTCTTATTATTTTGGGGTTTTTGAATGAGAGAATGAAAGCTGGGGAGGTATTAAAAGATGAATTTGGGAGTGGGGGGAGAGAGGGAATGGGTTTGAATTTGAAAGAAGCAGCCGAACTAACGGCTACTAATTGTTTTTTTTTAATTAATATTAGAATGAAAGTCATGTGTTTGGTACAAGGTGGGTCAGACGGAATCTATATTATTTAATGTTTAAGAGCTCGACTTTCCATAAGAATAAAGTACACTCTTATCCATTCTTGTTCATGTGATGTGATGTGATGAATAAAATAATTTTCAAATTCAAAATGTATGAGCGTCAGCCAGCCTGGAATATTATAATAAATGAAAAACATAAACTGAAAATTAAAAATTAAATTACAGATTTTACATGGATGCAGCGCCAAATTTGTAGAATGTGGTATAAATGAAGGGATAAAGTGAATGAGATGAGAGAGAGAGAGAGAGAGAGAGTGGAGCACAAAGCAAAGATTACTTCTATACTTGATTTATATACAGAGGGTAGGGTCCAGCCAGGTGGGATGGGAAGTAAAATTCAGATCATAAAAAATCCATTGGAAGCTCCCAATCATCTGCATTTTTTCTCGACTTTGGGCGAGGTTTTCGACTTGACACTTTTTTACGTCCCTTCTCTGCACGATTCTGTTGTTTATCGACATCCAATTGTTCTTCAAAGTCATTATTTGAGTTGCCTGGACTCTGACCATCCCAAAACCCCTACCATTACCAATGAGCAATAACTATTAATTAGTACCACAAGTTATTGCCTGCCATTGCTAGGAATTCATAAGCATAAGAGCACACATTTATATAGTATACATGCATCCTCCATCGTAGCTTTTCACTTAATTCAACCATGTCATAACCAGTGGCCTGGACCATGCTAAATCCAAGATTTTATATATATATATATATATATATATATATATATATATATATATATATATATATATATATATATATATATATATATATATATATATATATATATATATATATATATATATATATATATATATAGTTTTAATACAATTCATCGAACGGACCAGCGCTCCGCTCCTCTTCGCCGCCGTTGTGTACTAATTCGCAGAAATTACTCAGATGGGCAATTTGGCTTATTCAACAGCTTCAATGAGAGCAACAACTTTTTTTTTTTTTATCAAGAACTTGGTCTGGGCTAAAATCATGACTAATTGACCTATGACTATCATCTAGCCCATGGTATATACTTCTCGTACCAATAGCGCGTGGGGCATTATTTGTCCCGAATGGTAATAAAAGCGCGTCTTACCGCTCTGCAGGCGGGCGTTGAAAGTCGCGGGCCCGTGTGCAATACATGCCCTTGGTGGATCTGCAGTCGGCGTGGGACAAAGGTGAGAGTGAAGCATTAACTTGCACTGAGGTTTATGAGCTTCAATAGGGACCATGATCAAACTTTTCCACCGACGGTGGCACTTGATAAAATCGAAATTCAATTGATCAAAAAGAGCTCCTAATAAATAGGTACCTTTTTTTTTCTTCGGGTTTATTGTTTGGTGGCTTAATCCCACTTTGCACCCTTGAAATATACAATTTTGGCACTTTGCACCCTTGAAATACAATATATCATGCATAATGCACCCCACATGAGTTTTTAAAGCTAATAAATGTAATTTGATATTTTTAGTTGTATTTAAAAATAAATTTTTTTATCACATAAAATATATTTTATGAAAAAAAAAAAAAATTCTTCAGCTATTTCGTTATCGAGTTATTATGAAAACCATATTTTCTTCCAAATATTTCTACATAATATTTCCACCAATTATAATAAAAGATTTATCAATCGCATAGCTAGTGATAAAAGTTTATTTGATTTTATTTTGTAAGAAAAATATATATATTTTTTAATTATTCACACTTTGGGCGCTCGAAATTAGGTTGTCGGTTGAAGATAATAACAATTTAATTTATTATTTTGTAACCCGGAAAAAAAAAACAATAAAAAATGAATTATTCTTATTATTCAATTAAGGTGCATTGTAAATCATTTATTGTGTTTTGAGGGTGTAAAGTGTTATTATTGTTTTTCAAGGGTGCAAAGTGCCAAAAAACTCCATTTCAAGGGTGCAAAGTGGAATTAAGCCATTGTTTGGTGGATCCAATTCATTTGAGGGAAAAAATACCCCGCATCAAGAATCACGAAAATATCATATTTACTTACAAAAATATAGTGGTTATTTATTGTATCTTTTTATATATACTTTTGATCATATACATTTTTATTTTATTTTTTACACACAAAAAAATCACAGCCATAATTAGGGTGGAGCCAGGTTAATATAATTAGGTTCACAAAATATTGCAAAAAAATAGGATTGTATTGCTATATTTAATTACAATAATATAAATTATAATCTTATCATATTTCAAGCATGCATTTACTTTTTTAAAATATTTAGTAGATTTTATCATATACTAAAATTTATTACTCAATGATATTAATTATATCTAGACAGTGATGAATGAAAGATACTCACGACCAACTACTACATTGAAAAAGTCTACATTAGGTTTATTTCATTATTAATTTATCTTATATATAAAAGAAAGAAACGCTAGGGCAACCCTAAGAAACCCTAATGTCATATTTGTAATTTTTTTTCAATTTTTATCAAATTTTTATCTCCTTAATATTATTTTAAATATTATTTTCGAATTTTATCATATTTGTATCCCCTAAATATTATTTTAAATATTATTTGTTATTTTTATCAGATTTTTGTCTCCTAAATATTATTTTTTATTTTTATCAAATTTTTATCTCCTAAATATTATTATAAATAATATTTTTTTAATTTTATCAAATTTATATCTCCTAACTATAATTTTAAATATAATTTTTAACTTTTTTCTGAGACACCTAACTTAATCAAACTATTAATTGGAAAGGATCTTATATGCGCTAAAAATTATTTATGTAGAAACATACATAAACATCTTTATAATACAATTCATCCGTTTGGTCAATATACGCTTGAAGCAATCAAGGAAACCTATATGGTTCAATATAATACCAATGAGTGGTATGAATGTGGAATTGGAGTTATTACGGAATGATTTTAATCATATTTTATCTCCTAAATATTATTCTAATTACTATTTTCATATTTTATCAACTTTTATCTCATTAACATTATTTGAAATATTATTTTCGATTTTTTATCAAATTTTTATCTCCTAACTATTATTTTAAATTTTATTTTCGATTTTTATCAGATTTTTATCTCCTAAATATTATTTTTTGATTTTTTTATCAAATTTTTATCTCCTAAATATTATTTTAAATATTATTATCGATTTTCATCAAATTCTCCTAGATATTATTTATAATAATCTGATTTTTGATTTTTACAGAAAAGGGTAAATAAATCTGATTTTCATCCCTAGCGGATTTTGTGACATCGTTTTACAGAATGTCTGCAACATTTGAATTTTATTTCTTCCCTACCTAAGGCTTCTTCTTTTGGTAACCCGAGTTTAGATTTTGTTTCTTATCTTCTTCTTCATCCTATTGACAGTGTGGCAATTAGTTTACATCTTTTTCCATCATGGCTTATAGGTAATTTCATTTTGTTAAATTATGTGTTTCATTAATTTATACCAAAGTTTTCAAATTTTATGTATAACAATTATTTCATTTTATATGTTATTGGACATGTTATTAAAAGGGATGATTTGAGAAAATTAACCAAAAATGGGCGGAGCCACAAGCTATTGGAAGTCGACCTTCAAGACTTATTGTTTGTATGCGATATTTAATTTATTGTTTGTATTTATTTTTGTTTCTTAATTTTCCAATTGTTAATTCCCGTGGCAAAACAGCCTTAAAATGAGGCAGTGGAGAAGGGCTTAGTTCCGATGCAAGATGTATAGATGGCCTTTTACGATGGTATGTTGTCGATAGTTTAGTTTTGATTATGTTAACTTAGTTATTAAATCTAATTACTTTTAAGCTCAACATGAAAGACATAATTGATGATTTTTTTCACTGGTTTAAATTTTCAATCTACTGGTATTAGCTGATTCAATTCATTTAGAAATTTATTGAACAGTAAAGTTATGTCCTTTTTTTTTGTGTGTAGTATACTTAATAA